TACATCTTCTCTGCCTTGCCTAGCTTTCCTTGGTTCGCGAAGAGATTGCCTAGATTATTAACTGTGTGGAGTGTCGACGTGTGCTTAGGACCAAGCGCCTCCTCATACCCTCGCAGTGCCCGCTTGTACATCTTCTCCGCTTCATCTAACCTTCCCAAGTCCGTGTACAGGATTGCAAAACAGTGTACTGAATTTAGCGTTGATATGTGCTTAGGACCAAGTGCCTCCTCATACCCTCGCAGTGCCCGCTCGTACATCTTCTCTGCCTCCTCTAGCTTTCCTTGGTTCGCGAAGAGGAGGCCTAGTAATATTACTAACTGTGTGGAGTGTCGACGTGTGCTTAGGACCAAGTGCCTCCTCATACCCTTGTAGCGCCTGCTCGTACATCTTCTTTGCCACATCTAGCTTTCCTTGGTTGGCGAAGAGAAGGCCTAAATTATTAACTGCGTGGAGTGTCGACCTGTGCTTAGGACCAAGTGCCCTTTGATACCCTCGTAGCGCCTGTTCGTACATCTTCTCCGCCTCGTTCAGCTTTCCTTGGTCCATGTAGAGACGGCCAAGCCGGCGGATGGCCACTAGTATCACTGCCTTCTCTTCACTCCTACTCCTGTCCATTCCACAATCCCTCTGACTTCTAGAACTTCTCCCTATCTGGGTTGACACCCATCGAGAGGACGCCTGGGCATGAGGAAGAAGTCGACGTTGCATGGCCGAGTAGTCCTTAGCTGAACTATCCACTACAGCCCATCCGACTGTACCTACTGCTAACCGAGCTAGATTCGATTGAAAACATTTACCCTGGTAATGGTACGCCCATCGGTGGACAACTGGATGAGTAGCGTAGCTTGCCAGTTCTTCGGTATGTTCAATCAGTGAGTAGTTACGCAGAACTTGCATCGCCATGCTAAACTCAAGCTCATTCCTTGCAATATCTCCAATCCAATCCGTCAACATTTTCTCAGCTACCTTCGAATACTGGTATGCCGCTGAGAATAAACCATACCATAGATCCCTATTGTCAAGGAAGGACCACAGAAGGAGGAGGTTAGCTGTAGCTGGGTGCTTGTCCTGGATAGCTTTGTAAGAGATAGCCCATGTGGTCCACACGCTGCGATCCGGATAATCTTGAAGAGGCGCGTTAACCCAGTCTCGTGACTTCATAAGTTCACGCCACTGCTGTTCGTAGAAAGCTAGGTATTTTTCGAGCCCAACCCCGCTCTCTTGGAGATACGCACCCGCCTGTGCGATTGCTAGCGGTAAGCCATCTAGAAGCTTGAGCAGGCGCTCACTCTGCGCTGTATCTATGTTAGAGGAGTGTTGTCAGCTTGAGTTTATTATATTGGCTTTTAGGCTGGGTAGAGGTCTTACCGTACTTCTTTTTATACCAACTCTGGAGGATAGCCTGAGCCTGAACTTCATTAACCTTGCCTAGGTGCTGCGAGTCACCTAACTGCTCTAGCCTAGCTAGTCGGGTTGTGATTAAGATGGAACCGTGGTCGGCGTCTGGAAAATAGCGCTTCACATCGTATGCATCAGGGTCTGTATCGCTTGGATCGTATTCCCGGTCGACGTTGTCGAAGACAAGCAGCCAGGCAGTGTTGTCCGGTCGTGCAAGCCAATTCATTACGTCTCTTACAACTTCATCGACATCTGCGCTACCCTCTGCTGAGTATCCCTTACTAGTCTCTAGAATCTGGCCTTGTGGAATCTTGCTTGCATAGCTTGCAATACTTCGCTTGAGGATGTCCTTGCTTCTTCCGTCTAGCCAAAACACAGAACTAAACCTGCGGTGGTGGCGTCGCGCGAACTCGACTGTTAGTTGCGTCTTGCCTATGCCCCCAAGGCCATGGAGGACAAATACTTTTTGTCGGCTTGTTAAGGGTGGTTTACGGAAAAAGAATTGCTCAAGATTCTTCATTTCAGATTCACGAGGAACAAATCGATTCGCCACAGGTATGCTGCGAAGACTAAAAGGGACGTCATATTTGCCGTAGTCTGTAGCCTAGTCAACCTTTATCAAATAACATTGCGTACGAAGGTGCCTAGTTACACTGAAACCGGGCCGCTAAAAGCTCGTAAGATGCTCCGATTATGCTCTTGATTACGTCGCTTACAGTCTCAAAGTCTTCCTCTGTGGGACTTCCAAACTTGTTCATGTTAAAGTGGGTCCGTGAGAGCGAGAATTTGCTCGTCGAGTCGGATAAGTCAAGGCAACCAGAGCTCTCGCTTACCACAAATCTCTACGCATATAGTCAGTCACTGTAAAGCACGTGATGTCTCTAAGCCTACCGCTCGATCTTCCTTCCCCACAATCCTTCCTACATTGCTCGGCTTCAGCTCATAGAAGCACGCAACCTGTGCCTTATTTGGAAGCCTCCGCGTTTTTCCAAACTGATCAACTACTGCTTGAAGAAATTCATTCCCTGGCTCCAAGATTTTCAGCACATCTGTGTACACTTCGTCCTGGTGGTATTCTCTTCTCGCCGCTTCAAGCATCTCCACCTGGCTCATCCCCTCCGCCCCTCGAAATGGTGTGCCAAAGAATACGAGGCCGGTCGTTGACGCGAATATGCCAGGCCATTCTTTCTCGTCGAGTTGAGCATCGAGCAGGGCCTACGAGTTTTAGTTACAGGTGTCTACACTAGCTGCTAGCAGACTGACTTTTAGAACTACCAACCCACCGAAGCAGTGCGCTATGAAGAGTAGCGGACGAAACGGGAACCCCTGGCTAATTAGCGACGATAAGTGGTATCTGTGCAGGTAGAGCACCTCTCTTTTCCGTCTCAATGCCAGCAACAACCGCTGCGCTACTGTCGAGGCATTCTGCCGCATCGCCCCTTTGCCAAACCACTGAGACTGGTATCCGTATCGCATGATGCGTGCGTGTGGAGCCGTCTTGGGCAGCATATCTTCCTTCTCAAGCCAGTTGGCCCACTGCGGGGTCTGCACGGTGCCCACATTCTTGCACCAGCTGTCGTCTGGATGAGCCCCAATGCCATGGATCGCGACGATACTGAGGCTGATCAGTATGGTCCTGCGCAATCAAATACGTAAGGAAGCAACGCACTCAACAATCTGTGCAGCTTGTGTGTCTGTGTCTCGAGGCTCGCGTAGGACCTTCAGTCCGATGTCGTCATCCGTCACCGGCCGACCCTATTCCCACACCACATTAGTCTTGGCACGGCATCTCTCCCACCCCTACTTACCATTATTAGAACTAAATACTTGAGGAAGGAGATTGTTGGCTGACACGAAACACTAATAAAGAAGAGGGAAGAGAAGAAGATGCGAAGATCAGCAGTAAGGCTGCGACACCAGGCCGAGAGAGCCGCAAGATTTGCCTACGCGCGACGAGGCTGAGCTGAAGCTGAAAATGATTGGAGCCTGAGGGCACGATCCTCCCAACGGTGGCTTCGCTGCTTCGAAAAAGTAAATTCATCGCACGTTTACAGTGCATCCGAATTTGTCATCCTCATGAGTTTTGCCCTGTACTGGAACAGTGGAGGCATCAAATCAGTCTGTACGAATCTACGCCTAAAGAAGCCGGAAGAATTATGATCTATTCCTTGCCTGGCTAACCTTTATCTCCGCTCAATTTCTCCGTTTATCTGGGCAAAATCTCCCAGAGAAGTCAATTCCATCCCATGCTCTCGAAGCTTGTCTCTAGAGCATAAAAACCGTGCCAGCAGCAATACCAATTCCCTACCTCAACAGCAACAGACTAGAGGCTGCAAATCGTTATCAGAGAAGAACCCCAGCTTCATCTTCAAAAAGGCGCTACTGAATACCTATTGAGCTTCTTCCAAGCTATCTACTCTTGCAACAACTCCAGAAAGCGTACCTTGGCGCCAATATTAAACTTGAGTAGATTGGCGAAGCTGCGAAAACATTTTTGCGGATTTATCGCTTCCTGATCTAGCGAGAATCAGATTTTCATATTGCTTATCAAGTTAACCTCTTAGAGATTGTTTCTCCGACGATGGGGGTTGGAATTTTTTCACTTTACTTAGACTTTATTTATATTAAGGGCATAGATGTATTGCTGTTACGACCGAAACCCTTAAATGGCTGGTTGGCATCATGGAATCTGAGAAGGCCGGGACTACGAGTCTTAGGACCTAGAGGATGAGGACCTTACACCTGAGGTGGAACATGGGCTGGTCACGTAACCGAAGTGAGTTCACGTCTGTGACGCAGAACAACAGAGCACGCACTACTACTCTACGTTACAGAGGCACAGGGCAAATTCGGTATGCAGTCACACCGACTTCCATGATTCAGAATTCGTAGTCAATTACATCGATCATCCTGACGATACTTTGTTCACTTCAATACTTACCTCGTGGCGAACACATCATTGTACTAGTGCATACCAACCGGCACTCATCTACACCACAAGCCCCCACAAATTGCCACCCTTCCGCTCTCTTAATGCTAATAACAGATATCGTGTTACCATCTCGTCAAGTCGGGAGCTATTGGACCAGTCTCTGTCGTCCTAATCTTCTGCGTCTGCAACATCATAGCGAATCATGTGGCCGACATTATTTGGATAGAGCTATGCAAAGAAGACACCAATAACTATGCCGTAGCTAACCTCGAAGTAATTGAGTCACGCATCTTTTGGCAATACCTCCTAGGATTGGGCGCTGAGGCAAGCATAGTGCAGTAATTCCGCTACCGCGGCTGGAGTGCTCGCATATCGCGCGTTATTGCGTTTGCGGTACTATTTACGCCATATTCTAAATGTGGTGGTCTGCTGAAATTGTAGTGGAAGAGAATCTAGACTACTGGTAGTTAACAATATGCTAAAACAACTCGTGATCATCGTGGTACTCCCTAGCAGCGGCATTATGGAAGTAAGTCACGTCGCTGTTTGTTATTCACACCTCGAGGATCAAACCCAATGAGGTTGCTGTTCTCCCCATAGGTAAACCGAAGTCGATGTTTCACTCTCAGGATGTAATGTATATCTGAAACCCCAGGACTGCCGGATTTAGCGGGGATGTCTTTGGCGAAAGGGCTTTTCGAAGTACACTTGATGAATGGGATATTTGCAGTGCCAGCAGAATGTTCTTTGTAATCAGATGATAGATAAGTTTCGCGCAGATGAAGGACCTAAAGCAGGGTGTCTTAAGTGAGACGCACAGAAGAAACGACCTGTCACAAGCGTTTATGTTAGCCGACGTGTTTCAAGAGAGGCTTGGAATGCTAAACGCCACACTAACATCTGCCAAGTTATTCGCATGCCTGGCTTCGTCACATTGCCACCATTCCCAAAGGGCCCGCGCTTGGCAGAGATGAGCCCAAAATGGCAATGCCCCACGCAACAAAGATACTCCTCGCATCTTGAAAGGAGACCTACAAATACACAAGCTCAAAGGGAGGAAGAGGAATATGGGATACGGCACCGGAAATCAGGCTGAAGGAGAAGAATTATTTTATTTCGCCAAACGGTCTCCATACAAACCTCCGCTAGCATCCTACCATTGCACCTTCCCCTCAGGATTCTCTCCAACAAAGCTAATGTTTTGACCTGAAGGCGCTCGACTCACGCATTTTAGCCCCTTCTTTGCTTCTCAGCGTTTCCTACGCAGCGAACTAACCTAGTTCAGCGCTGAGGACGAAAAGGGAATATGTGATGCTCGCACAGGTCTACCAACTCCATGATTCAAGCAAATCTTGCCGTCCTTCGGAGTACAATGGCTCACTGGTGGTCGCGATCGTGTTGGGTTAGAATGGTGCCAATCGAAGTCCGCCAAGTTGGATGGTAAGCCGGATGGGAAGCCAGTTGGGAAGCCATATGGAAACCCAGACGGAAAGCCGGACGGGAAACCAGTTGGAAAGCCGGTAGGGAAACCAGTGGGAAAGCTGAAGGAAGGGACAACCCCTGGAGGAGTTCCTGTTTGCGATGGTAATGGGGAGATTGGGAAACTTTCGGATTGAAGAGAGCCTATAGGAAAGGGGGGTGCGGTCGCAGGCTCCGAAACACGAACCTCAAGCGTCGTTCGTGTGAACGACTCGCCTGTGGTAGATAGGAAATCTTGAGAGGAGGCTGCTGGTGTAAAAGACACCTGAGAAGGCTCGGTCAGTGCAGATGGCACGACAATAGCAGATGTAGCGTGGGCTGCCGATGACAACCCCTGGGCTACTGAGGATACCTGAAGCTGTGCCGAAGAGCCCACAACCGCAGATGTAGCCTGAGCTACTGAAGATACTTCTAAATGGACAGAGGACGCGGCACCCACGGAAGTAGCCTGGGCTGTAGCGGAAGCAACTGGAGCGGTGGACGTCGACACTAAATCGCCCGCTCCCGCCAGACTCATACAAGCAAAGCTCATCTCCTTGACGCTCGCTGGGTTCGCAATCGGTCCATCAAGTTTCCAATCCATATCCACATATGGCCAGCAGATCCTCCCGTCGCTCATAGTGGCCATATCACCTGCTACAAACACATCCGTCGCTTTCACCGCATCTCCGACCTTCTTTCCAGCATTCACGAGTTGGAAGTTTGACCCCGTAAACGCGCCTTTGCATCCCATAGCAATGAAATCGCACTGCGGCTGGGCGATTTCTTCCCAAGTAACAAGGGCATTCTCCCCATCGAACGCAGCGACGTGCGCATTGGAGCAGTCAGCCGTCCCCGCCGTGATCCAATTGATCTGAGAATCGCCGCTCGTGGCTCCGACTTGCGATGAGGCCTGTTCTCCCACCAGGGTGTTTTTGTCTGAAAATTGGGCAATTGCAACGTTGCGGTTGTTCGTTCGGTTGAGGGCGTGGGTAAAGCCTGCACCCAGCCAGTCGTTTGTCGTGAGGTCTTTCGCGCCGCGACTAACCCAAGCGGAGATGTATGAGTCTTTACCAACGAACCGGGAGAGTCCGCTGAAGGAACCACTCATGCCGCCGAATGGCTCACCGCTTCCGCCGTTCGTGGTGTTTTCGTTCGAAACTTTCACGCCATTCATAGATTGCGTCTTGGTGTTCAGCCAGATGGCGCCTTGGTCTTCAGCACACATGCTCGCAAATGGGACCGAATCTGCAGCTTCAAACGCAATACCAGTGTTGTGGGAGCATCCCCAGCTGGAACTGGCACCCGAAATTGTCTCAAGCGTTCCATTTTCGGTCACATACTGGATGCTGTCGCCAAAGTGGCCTGATGCGGAGCCAGTGTATGCGGTGACGACAAAGTAGGCGCCATACATGCCAGCTGCTTCTGAGAAAGCGAGATCCCCATTGAGATCCGGGGATGCTTCAAGTCCAAAATCCTCATTCACGCCTGGACCACCGAGGAACGTCTTGAAGGTTTGCTTCCCGGAGGTGTAGCGATAGAGCACAGCGACTGGCGTGCTTCCAGCAGGTGCATTCGAGGTCCCAGAAGGTAAAGCCTCATTTGTCAAAAGAGCGAAGCCATCGTTATGTGCCACGAGTCCTCCCGCTTCTTTCGCTCCAGTGATAGTTGTCGGCGTTCCAACAGCGGCGAATGAAGCGGGATCAACTTGCTGGACATGGACGTCCGTCTCACTCGCATCGAGGTATGCGAGGTACGCCGACTTTCCGTCCGGCGAAAGTGCAAAAGGCGTTCGGCGATGGTGTGGATATCCAGTCCAGTAGGATTCCTTGATAGGATTGAAAGAAGCAGACAGTGACAGTGCACTGACGTGCTTCTCAAGAACGATACCTGTCGCTGCTGCGGATGCACCGCTATAAAGGAAAGAAAGAATGAAAGTCGAAAGCAACATGTTGCAGTCGGGTCAGTCAGAAATGAGTGACTAGCAAAGAGTGAAAAGAATGAAAGCGGCAGTGCTGAAGAACTCTCATGGTGGTGCAGAAATATCATATATAAGCCATAATCCGACCCCTAAATGAGATCATGGGAAAGTCATTGCTGCACACCAGAGCAACATCTCGCCGCTCGGAGATTCTGTAGGGTGTTGATTGCGAGGTGGAAATTGGGCTCCACAATGCGAGAACGAAGAGTGAAGTTGACTTGTGGGGAAATTGTGAGGATGGGAAGCGACGTTGGTGATGTTTCAACTTGTTTCCGAGGGTGGGGCTGCCAAGCCGCTTCAAACTTCCCCGGCGCCTGGCTTGAGGAGTGCCAAGAAGGGCGGGGTGAATTGCCCATTGAAGTCGTACATGGTGAGACTCTCGTGCGAGCATGCGACCACCAGCGCCGTCTCATTTCCACCGGATTTCCCATAACTTTGTTTACATCCTAAGTTATCTTCATGCCTCGCCAGAAGAATAACCTCTCTCATCCCCCCGCCGTAATGCTTCATCACCTGCATGCGGCACAGTCACGGTTCATGAAGTGCGCAAGTCTGTAGCATATAGTTCGGAAGGATATAAATATTGTAGGTAAATTCTGTTCGTTTGCTCAACCAGAGACGAAATCGGTCCGTAAAGACACGCTGTGCCGCAATCCCAATGATAGATGTCTTCTCCGGTCTCTCTACTTTCGGAATGAAGTGAGGAAGCGCTGGTGAGAGGACCGCTCATTAAGATGCTACCATTGAACTCATATGAGGAGTACCGCGATTACTCAATGCTAGAACGAGATCGCGGAGATCGTAGATATGAAAAGGATCACGAGGGTGCCAAGTAAATTGATCGGGACCAAGTACGAAAACAGATAGCGAATACACCAAGAGAAGTTATTGATAAGAAACCACACAAGATTAGCAGAACAGGCAATCACAGCTGCGCGAAATGAAGAACCTCATGTAGGCGAGCAACCATGCTCTATTATTACACGCCTCATATTACAGATGCACAGCTAATCGACCATGACCCGCTGCTAGCTAACACGACTGAGCTATAATGGATCCACTATGTAGCCCTTTGGCAAAAGCCAGAGCTATGCGGGCTGGAGAAGCTCTCGCCGTTCCCAAGTACCTGGCTTGAGCCGATCCACGGACTGAGACGCGAACCTGACATGCTAGTTATGAGACATCTGAGCGACAGTACATACGTAATGCGGTTGAACCTCCAGGGGCTCTTCGATTAAAGCTGAAGCGATGCTGTTCAGCTTTCGCAATGCCTTCGAATATTCAGTGAGGTATAGTGCTCAGCCAATGTTGAAATTGGAACCAGTCGAAGCCTGCTGAAAAAAAAGTATAGATTTTAGAATAACCTGGCGTGTACAATATTAGTGAAGTTAAAGTCAAGTGAAGGTAAAGTGGACTTACGCTCATGACTTTTTCTTCGCCAAGTGGGTTAAAGTAGAGTGATGTCGAGTAGCGCGACGTCGACGTTGTATGAAGCTAACAAGTCAGTGATACCAAGACATTGTTAATAGATAGCTACATTACGTTCGAACTTGGCTTTTTTATTTTTTATTTAGAGTTGGGTGATGTTCTTGTTGTATGACATCGTTTCGGTCAAGGTATTGATATGTTGCCTGGTCGATTCGAGGTCGAACTGTGCCCGTAATTTTCTAAAAGCAACGGATGAAACATCCATCTGACTATGATAGTTATTGTGAATCCACTATTTGACTTCAAGGAGCCAATGCATAGTGGGTGAAGGCGGCGAATGGTGCAGTAACCGCTGTCAGTAAAGGGGGGCAATCGAAGGAAGTCATATATGTGTTATGAATGCAGTGCGCCTGTGACATGAAGTTAAGACTTAAAGGATATTAGCATGATTTGAATGAGAGGAGAGGCATTTTGAACTTTTCACATCGTCGGGAGGAGCCAAGTGCGGCATGATGTTCATGGCGTCGTCTGACTAATGTCGAGCATCAAAGTGCCATATTCCTGCGGCAGCAGTGGTATGTACCAAATGCGTTGCGAGGCTAAGTAGTGAATGTACCCTCCAGGAGGCAGAATTTGGGGACCTAGATGCTGCACTAAAAGCCGTACTACCAAATCTAACTTGAATGATCAACCCTGTACAGATATCTATGATGTATGCGTTGACTGTGTAAACTAACCAAGAGAGGTCTTTGTGAAGTTAGTAGCATGACTGGCTGGGAGTAATCCTCCGCAGCGGTCAGATAAACTAGACACTCGACATTGCATCTGCTCAGTGCACTATCTGTGCTTTCTATGTCCCCTGGACGCAGATGAAGAAGCCTGGTAAGGCCTAAGATTATATAGATGTCGTTCAGTCATCATTAAAGCATTAAAAATGAGAGATTGGATGAAGAGATATTCGTAATAGTTTGAACTTTTGGAGTGTTGGAGTGGCATCTCCGAACACCCTTTTCAAAAACACCCACATTTTACATAAATAAGCAGGCTAAGGATTATTTCTGGCTCGTGATTTGACGAGATCTCTTCTCCTTTGGTGAACCATGCTGCGAGTAATCTTCGTTAATGCCAACTGTTTCTGACAATCTTCCTTACCACCTTGGCAGAGAACCTGTTCATCGATTATCGAACTAAGATGCGACGAAAGTGTATTCAATAGTTCCGGATATCGTTATTAATATACAACGTCTGTGCTGAATGTGGATGTGGGGTTGGCGGCTGAACGGCTATTGTTGGGCTGGGAAAAGAATGCTACACGACTCGAAAAACATCGAATTCTGCATACCCATTGCCGCAAAAATGGATAGAGTGCTAAAATCCTCAACTCCCTAGCAAATTTGACGATGTTACTACCATACTAGTATAGTGACATTCTCGGATAATATGTTGAAGAAATGAGGACGAGTGGGCTGATGACGAATTAGTACAGTCCTTGTCTTGGGCGTAATTCTTCGTTAATCTACTACAATGTGATAGCACCGGCAGTTCGCCTAGCGTTATGGGCGATGGAGGTGCCGCGATTCTCATTGACAATATTTAGTATATAAGGTTCCATGTGGTGGCGTGAAATTGTGCAGATGCAGGGCTTAATCGAGGCTCTCTATCTCCCAAAGACTACCCCCAAAACGTGGTTCCGAAATTGTCAAGGATCCTGTACCTTTCTCGAAAGATGAAGCTAGGAAGGGCGACAATCGCTTGTTTGGCAGTCTGCTTGCAAGTGTCTTGCCTTCCTCTATCCACATCAGAATTGAATGCACTCGCCCGAGATGTTGAGAGAGTGGAGTCGGTCCGGGAGATCAAGGATGTACAGCGAACCTTTGCTCAACTGGCTCAATTCGGAAAGTGGAGGGACATGGCTGCTCTATTCTCCAATAATGGTAGCTTGCAATGGGGAAACGAAACCGCAACTGGACTAGCCGCTATCGAGAAATGGCTCCGGGTCGACGCCGGCGCCATGGATGGAATCCGATCTGGATCTCTAGACACCATGATAGCCGAGAATGGATTGGTAACTCTTTCGGCAAACGGCCGCATCGGCAAAGCGCGCTGGAACGGATTACGCTTTATGGGGGATGGAGCTGGGGGAACGCGTATCCAAGGAGGAATTTACGAGAATCAGTACGTTCTCAGCAACGGCCTGTGGAAGATCTCACTGTTGCACTATTATCCGCTTTACTCTGGTCCATATGTCGGAGGCTGGCGTACTAGTAACGGTGCTGTTCCTATCATTCCATATCACTTCGTAGAACAAGGTGTAGATCCAGGTGTCGCCATTCCACTCGAGGTTGGCGAAGCTCCCCCCGCTAAAGCATCAATCGAGGAACTAGCCCATCGTATATCTCGGCTGAACGACGAGGACGCCATCCGGAATATCCAGCATTCCTATGGCTTCTACGTTGATCGTCGGATGTGGGCCGACGTGGTTGATCTTTTCGCCTCTGGCTCCACGGTTAAGATAGATGGCGTTGGCACATACGAGGGGGCAGCGGGTGTCCGGCAAGCAATGGAGCGCATGGGACCGGAAGGTTTGACCCAGGGAATTCTCAATGCCCATTATATCTTCGATCAAATCGTGGAAGTGGATCTAAACGGCCGTGAGGCTACTTCTCGAGGTATTGAAGTTGGCATGATTGGAAATGCAAACACTCGAACGGCGTCTTGGGAGTTCAGCGTTTTTCGCAACGACTTTGTGAAGGAAGACGGCCAGTGGAAGCTGAGTAGTCTTGAAATCACGCCACTCATTGTCGCCGATTACTATAAAGGCTGGGGCAGAGGAGCCAGTGCTCGAAATAGTAGTCGCGTGCCAGCATTCCTAGACGTGGCCGCTCGAAGCTCCCGAGGAGTTGCACGAGACGGACCCAGTGGGGATTTGGCAGATCTTCGGCGCCAGCTGGCACGTTCGTCGGCTTATGATGGGGCTGAAAATGTGTCAAACGCGTACGGCTTTGTCATCGACGATCTACATTGCGACCTAATGGGAGATCTCTTCCATACAAAGGGTCATAAGAACTCCCCATTTTGTGGATATTACCAAGGTCCTCATCGGAACGCAGATGCATGTTATACATCATGGGGAAGAAACCATTCAGCCCTACGTCCCAGTATTTCTTTCCACTGGCGGCCGCAGCCGGTGATTCTCGTGTCAGAAGATGGTCGTTCAGCCACACTCCGGGCACACCTTCTTCAACCCTCAACTTCGAATTCGACGAGTGGTACCTTCAGGGGAGCCATCTACCATGACCAAATGGCGCTCGAAGACGGCAAGTGGAGATTATGGAGCATTACAATTGACGAATTTTACTGGCAATCCAAGGACTGGGAAAAGGGCTGGGCCGGCGTCGATCCGCGGAATGCTTCCTCTCCGCTTCCAGCGCCGAGCGCACTTTTGACCAAGTACCCTCCGGACGTGACACTTGTTCAAATTGGCGACCGTGAAGATGGATTCCAGGGTGGTACTGGGCGTTTCATTTCCTGGCCAGAAATCCAGCGTATGTGGTTTCAATATCGCAACCTCGTCAGCGGACGTGTGCCTGAGCATTATTGGCCTGGATGCGTTCCCTGTCAACTAAAGAAGGAGTGGAGTCTTTCTGCCAACGGCTACCAAGAACCACCAACAGGTCCAGAGCTCGCGAACGCAACAGTATTGTAAGGCATTAGATGTGTTCGTAAATATATGATTTCCTAGGCTTGAGGTCTTGGGAGCGTTCTTTCCTCTGTCCTGAGATTGAAGATTCTGTTGTGAAGGATTTGTGCGGCTTTCAACCTGTGTTCTGTAGTTAAACGAAACAATATTCCTTCAACGTTATGGCAAGTTACTCATAAGCAAATAAAAAATCAATTTAGAAATAGGAAAAGACAAAGAAGATATTAATGTAATGGAGAGACTAAGAACCCTGGAAGCCACTCTTTTGGAGGGATTGAGGCAAGCGAATCACGACTATGCGATCTTACGTGCGCTGCCTTGCACCGGGTTGTACTCCATCTTTTGAGTCTTAGAGTCCACGGATCTCCGAAGTTCCATGTTGCAAGAATTCACATTTTTGCATTTTGGCTGATTCATCTTTTTATTCAGAACAAAGCGAGAGTCTTCACCTGGCAAACGGCCAACATCCAAAGCAGCGCCTCTTTTCATCCCGCCTAGAGTTTCTCGCTCACATTCCCAGCTTCATAAATGATCTCCCATTTAGAGGGCTCAAAAATCAGTAACTCCTTCATAACCATTGTTGCCCACTCCGTTCCCATCAGTACATCTCCTTGATACGGGTCCATATAATCTGTGTCTAGCTCATGCAAGGCAAGGTACTTTGGTATCGACCCATCTGCCGATGTATACCGTGTAGTGCGCCTGTAGTTGGGAGTCATAGAAAACATATCGAGATGCTAGTAGTTTGATATTAGGCACACTGTTAAGGAAAGCACCGAGAATAACTCGGGTTAAAGATGACAGTTTGGGGGGTTTTTTCCGTACCTGTTTCCTATACCACTCTTCCACATGCTGAGTCCCTGCCTCTCCAGTTGCAGGTTCAATCTTCACGGGAACCTGCACTTTTGGTCTTCCCTTCGGCACATCTCCTCTTTTCTCCCTCAAGCTCTCAAAAGTCTGGATAGGTACCCAGGAGTCTACATGAAACTCCACCATTCCTGCTTCTAGATACTGCGCCGCAGCATTGCTGATGGAACCTACATCGCTTGTCTTATACAGGGCTAGATAATGCCATGGTGGAATCGAAGAGGTGCTTTGTGGAATCACTTTGTAGCGTACGACGAGAGAAGTCGTGTTAGATTTGAGAATCTCAGGGATGTGAATGTTGTTGTACCAGGAATTAAAGGCAGAGGCTGTGAGATTGGGGGATGTGATGCGGGATGTGACGTAGACTAGGCCTGCGACACCTGCGACGGCGGGGGTGAGCAACATCTTAGATTCGGGCATAGAAAACTAGTTTTGGGAAACGCGTTGAATAAATTTTAAGATTCAGAAGGATTTGAAGAGGTTGTTTCTCTTTATTAATATGCAAAGCAATCCATTGAAAGCGTAGAATATCTAATGCGGAGATTCGTGGTAGCAGACTCCGTGGATGCGGGGCTGCTGCGAAGGGGGCTGTAAAGGAATGCATGCTAGAAAGACTGGCACTCGCAATTAGGATAAATCGAGACGATGAATACCCATGTAATCAAGTCCAGTGTACTTCTCTTCAACCCCATGCTACGGTAAAATCTTGCGAATCGCTCTTTGAGAACCATCGGTAAAGCGGAGAGGGCTCGATTCTCTACAGCATCATATTCCCAGCGTTATCCATTACAGGGAGGATAATTCGGAGGAGAAACCTGCGCCATTTCGGCGCTCCCTGTGTTGCTAGCAAGAGGTTGAATAGGTAGACTTTACCCTAGCCATATCCCATGTTTTGTGATACTGTACTCTACTCTAGCATTATTGCCGATGTTCTGCATCTTCCTATCTTGATAGGATTCGTCAAACATACCGACTAATGTCCACCATCTGATTCCTTCAGCAGCCCTCCAAGTATTGCGCCTTTATTTGATCCTAATTACGCTGCCTCTTTGCCCACGCTTCGGTGGCTTCCCCTTCTTAACCATGCTTGTGCGCCAAACATCGCAATTACCACCGTCGTGCACAACATAATTGCGACCTGCATCCACTTCGCAGCTTTCTGCTACATTGTTAGCCGCTAGTTTTCGTAGCGCCTTTGAAAGATATATCACAAACCGCTTCGTTGCAGGCTAAAGGAATAGCCCATTTCCATTCGCCCGTGATGTTGGCCCAATAGTAAGGCAGAAGACTACAAGCAGCAGCTTCCCTCGTACAATGGAAAACGGGCAAATTTGCTCCATCAATTGTCTGAGTACACCCTTGCCATCCGCCGCTATCCTTGTCGATGGTAGAGAAAATAAGTGCGGCAAGTGAGCAAGCGAAGCTAGCGGCTGACGTTAGGAGAACAAATCCTGACCAGAAGTAACGGCGAGTCTACTCCGAGTATTAGTCGCAGATTGCTTACACTCTCTTCGTTCGAACATAGGTTCTGAGAGAACATACAATATTGTATTCGAAATCCATGTCACGCATTCGCAGTCGCGACCAGCCGATGATGGCAACGACGGCGGATGCCACACCAAGACATCCCGCTGAGATAGTTGTATCCGTAGGCCTGAAAGTGTATTCAATAATCGCCTGTTCGATCTTATTTGTCTGGTTAAATAGCACCCAAACCCAGCTTAGGACCTTCCAATCCAGAAGATACCATGAGTGAGCACAGAGAATGAGGGCAGTCAAGGAAACCACCAGATGGAGGCCAATTGGCAGAAGGCTAAAGTCGAGAAGGGTAGGCATTCCGAGAATTGAGGGGCAACAGTAGGAAGAACATCAGAACTTCACAGATTCGAAAATAGAAGAACTATGCAGTTGGGACGTTATCTTCTATGCTACCGCCATGTCCATCGCCTGTGAATTCTGAAGGCTATGCAAAGCCTTAACCGCTGACGTTTGCAGGAATGAGCAATGTACCGAACTAGGAAATAGGCCATAGATAGCTCGATGAAAGAATCCTGTGAGGCGTAGGCGTTTCAAAGCTCCGGGGTCCAACATACTGCTCTGTCGCATCAGCCTCAAACGTCCGCATTTGCCAAAAGCTTTTGCTGTCAAGCACACCAATAAATAACCGTGTTGTTTCATGAAAAGTAGCAGCGCGTCGGTGCAAGCAGATTGAAGCTCCTGGGGTGCTAACAAAGTTGGACACGTGAGGTTCGGTGAGTGTAGTTGGGGTCGGGAACGAAGATGATGGGGATGCACACACATGGACACAAAATTCATAGCGATAATATTTCCTTTGGGGCAAAAGTTGAGAGAAGAGCACATATGCGATAAGATTCTGGCCGCAATACTTTGCCCATGAAATGATTGGTTATCCCATATTGAGAAGTTGTTGTACTTCCCAAGGGTTGTCGCCTCAGTACAAAAGTGTCGGTGATGCTTGAGAGACAATCACCAATTTCGACAATTCACTCTCAAAAGCACTCGCGAGAGCACTCACACTTTGATGCGCCATCTTGAGTCACAGCAGCGGTAGCGAAGGGTGAAATGAACCCCTTAGCATCGATAATGAGGTGGCATTGAAGCGGACCAGCCATTGGGGGTGAATGAGAGATTCCAGAATTGCCCAAGTAGCGGACTTGGGGATTTTGCTGAGCTTATGTAAGTTATGGTCATGTGGAAGTAAGCACCCACAGTGGCACGTATGAAATTGCAAACAAAAAAAAATATAGAGAACTGCCTTTTTGTCTATCCTATGTTCCAAGCCCAGAAACCTAACGGATCTTAATGTTGGAATGGATGGGCCGTATCACATGCACGGACGGGTGATCTGTGCTCAGTTGATCCCAGTGTGGCTTTCAATATCTAAATATAAATCATCTGACACAGTCACCTTATACGAGCACAGTGACGGAAAATTATCCAACTGCTGCCTGAATTGCTCCGAAATATGTTCGGATGGACCCGGAACCATTTCAGCCTCCCTATCCGGAGCCTCAACCAGTCCATAACAGAGTTGCAACAAGGTCCACCTTCCGAGCGCGTCATTCACACACCCCCAAACAATTCCGCCAGAATAATTTTTCTCGCGTTCCAATTCAAAATTACATTAGCGAGAGAGTCTGGAACCACTGTGGTTTTCTCTAAAATGAATCACAATTGTGAATGATTTCAACAAGTTCAATAGGCTGAAACACTTTCACAATTTTGATCCCGACGAATTGCTTGGCAAGCTTCATCTCGCCCTTATTTCCCCAGTCTTCAGTTATAGTCTGCGTCAAGGTTGGGCGAATTCTAGATTCTTAAGCTGACTACTTTCACCTTACCCTTTCAGAATCGATGTATACCTAGGATTTTCACCATACCTAAAGCGCTTCTGGACGAATCCGAAGTCCTCGATACAAGAAAAACATAGATGAAGTAGCGATTGTGGTTAAAAGCATTAAGGATAGGGTTAAATAGCGGACGGATGATGGAGGGTATCTGGAGTTGCGATTAGTCCAATCGTTGCTTCCCCTTGAGGCTACACATCAATATAATACTCTTCCACTGCACCACCGCCCAGGCTTACACGAAGTGATCATGTGGTCGATATGGTATATGGAAGGAGAATTTTGAAGTAAAATAAAACCACCTCTAATTAAATCATTCCACAGTACTGCTGCTATTTTCCCAAGATATTCTGCCTACGTTATTGAAGTTTCAGTAGTGCCATCGCGAGACAAGTTAGAAGACTTCGACAAACCTCAGCAAAACCTCATATATCAACACCCATTACTCGGCTCATGCCTTTGCACCTCGCCCTTAAGCGCGCCAAGCATGTACCAACCCACCATTCCCACTATCCAAGGAAGCCGCATTCAGGGGCCCCAAACGAAGAGAGACATATATGGATGAGTGGAGCCATAGTTTGCAAAATTGTTGATTCGTCACTAAAAAGTCGTTGTGGATTTGTCTCTTCTAGTAATACTTCGCTGCTTCCTAACCTTCACCAAATAGAAAACATCGAGTGGTTGTTTTCCAAACGATGCTCCACGTCCCTCGTTGCCGACCGACCCACACCAAGGCCTTGGTAACTTCTCCTCCCTAAAACTTTACTCCCGTATATTACTCATGCACAAAGTAGTGGGAATATTGTCCTGTACCCTATCTGGCCTTGTTGAGGTCAGCTAATGGCTTTAAAGTGAAGCATCCCCATTAGCTTATTAAGAGAGTCACACTCAAGTGTTTCTGCATGTAAACTGTTCAATTATGGGGTCGACCTTGCACGAAACAGGCACGTAAAGTTTTTCCACGACCATTCTGGTAACTTGGAGTGTCGAACTCAGGATGGGTTGCATAGCAATGTTCGTAAGAGCAGATGAAATGGCGGAGCCTCTATCAGCGTTTCCACCAGGAAGTAGTACGATTTGACTCAGGCTTTCTAGACAAGTTACGTCTCACTTATCATATACTTTTGTTTGCTTCACCTGACAGCAGGAGTCAATATGATTGAGTTACAGTTTAATTAAAGCTGCTTGTACTTCTTAACTTTTTACTAAAAGTTACAATGTAACTGTTAAAGCTTTTAGAGTAGCAGGGTCCCCCTTACTCTTAATATAGCACGTGAGGTTATTTAATTTACTAAAAACAACCTTATAACGTAGCTAGTTCTTCTAGAGTTGTAAAGCTTTAATTGTAGAGCCTAAGAGATAATTACGGTCACAAGTAACTGTTCTTTTCCCCCTGCTAAAGGCTCTCTCGCAGTCGCTCTCGCAGTCGCAGCTCGTGGGGGGTATACATAGGAAATCAAGTGCCATCTCAAAATAGTCTACCTTAATCGTATACTGCTCACCTTTAAGCCTCATTAATCGAATCGTAACAGTTAAAAATGTAGTTACGTTTGTTTGCCTCACGTGATCGTAGGTAGAGCAAAAGTATCAATCGTACTACTTCCTGTTGGAAACGCTGGCCTCTATATCATCTTCCCCGAAGCAGTCAATGCTGTTGTATACTCGAGGCGATGAGAGCATATGTAAAGCTTTGGCGGTGCAACAGAATTTGGAGATGGTTGAAAGGGAGTACAGAGTTAGATCCTTATCAAGGAGCTAAATCGGCAGGTGAAGAAGAGAAGCTATGGTTGCAAACGGTGATGAATAAAGAAGTTATCCCAGATACTTTTTTCTTGTGCCTTGAGACCCTGAGCTTGTGGTGAGTAGAATAATCGAGATTGAATCAAGTGCAGGTGTGTGCGGCATAGTCCAGGTATCTAAGCCTTGTAATCGCCACTTCCAGGGTCGTCCCACCAAGAGCAAACCCGATTCAAGGACCATTCAAGGATCCCGAATCATTGTAAGTTGTGAAAGATGGCTTCGTTGTGAATCTTTCGCACGACTGCTCGATTGCGTGTTGTAAACACATGTAGCTAGATTTGGCGGCGCAGCGCTGTGCCGCCTACACTAATGCGAGTTTGGGTGGCCTGACCACCGAATGATGGCGTGTCACTGTCAATTGGTTGTAACGAGATAGCAGCATTAAAGCGAACTGACTATCGCAGCGGGGTTGGATATTTGAAGCAGTCTTGGAAGAGAGGGGTGATGTGGAAGGTGCACAAGTTTTCAGAGCGGATTCTCTGGGCGTATTTGAATTGAGTGGGCAGTAGCTAATATAACTATTTTAGCTTCGACGCTTCTAACTCATTTATGTAACTCTTCAAGATTTAAGGAATATACAAGGATTACTCCATCACGCGTAACCTGCTAGTACTTGCCTACGTCTTACTATCGAACTTTTGTGAGTATTACCTAGAGCTGTGATAGCCCTCCCTCGCCCAAGGACAGCGTCAAGGGGTTCAGAGACTCGACCTCTTCTTCTCGTAGTCCCCTGAGCAACATTCGAACCTATCAACCCATGACTGAAACCTTTAGAGCCTGCAAAATATCCCTCAAGTGACGAGTCAGTTCTTCTCCCAACCTATCCTAGTTCCTTTTGCATTCTTAACCTGCTGCAGCCAAGATGTCAATTCTCCCTTATAGCGGTCTGGGCCGTGGTGCGAATGTGCCCTAGTTCATTAAGAACAAACACACTTATCAGGGCGGATCTGAGAAGCTCGGACGGCCAGTGTTCCCATCTCACGATATTAGATTCGGTTCCCATCAATAGCCGCGTTTCAAACATGCCAAGGTGAAAGCCTTGGTTTTCCCCCCAATCACGACGCGCCTTCGCAATCCCGATGCGGACGTGGGCGAATCGAGCTTCAGGAAACGCGCACCACATGTTCCATGATAGTGTCGCAAAAGCGCAAATTGCCTAGGGACATCAAAGAGCATTGGGAATTGTGAATGGTTGAGGAGGGTTCGGCGTCAAGTTACAACCTGCCCTAAGTATTCTTGCATGTATCGCAGATAAGAAGGCTACTGAGGCTTTCGTTTTGGACAAAGCGACCATCACCCACAGAATACTGCAGTTTCATGCATGCAGAAATATTTACGTGTGATGACGACTGATAGCATGACTTGATAGCCAAACCAAATTTCTCGGCGCACTAGAGGGAAACACGAAACATCTTGGCGGCAGCTGTGCCCTATTGAAGGGCACGGGATGTTTCATGGCGGCTCTCGCCATTCTCACAGCACCCCTCGCTTCCACCGTCTCTCTTGCGACAGCTGCATTCTCTGTCATGATCATTTCACATTAGGGATCTTGTTTCCATTACCGCCCCTAGCTCATATCTGCCCAGGACTGGGGACCCTTCAATATCGGAGCAATGCTGGAATGAGGATTGGCTCGACAGCCATGAAATCCTTCTGTGCAACCGAGAATGCACAGCGGGTCTTGGATAGAGATAAATACTGCGAAGTCTGCCCTATTAAGGATACTCTGACAGCATCCGACACACTTTTTTTGGGGTTTTCAACCATCCACTCTTTTCACACCCTCATTTGAGTCTTCACTGAGTGAAGCTGGGACATTCTTTGCTTGTATTCGCTTCTTTGAACAAATCAGCTTTACGTAGCTCTTTCACCATAACCTGTCGTCACCGCCATGTCATTCGCTTCTAAATTTGCCTTGCTTGGCGCTCTTGCCACAACCGTTGTCGCCCATGGTACCGTTACCGGCTTTGTGACGGACGGAACTTATAACGGCGGCTTCAAACTAGATTATTACTATATGAAGCAAAACGGGCAGACACCACCGGCTACCGCTGGTTGGTACGCTGAGAATCTAGACAACGGTTTTGTGGAACCAAACAGCTATGGCTCTCCGGACATTATCTGCCACAAGAACGCCAAACCCGCAAACACTTCGGCTACGGTTGCTGCTGGTGGAAAGGTTGAGTTCCAATGGAGCGATTGGCCCGAGTCGCATATTGGCCCAGTCATTACCTATGTCGCCAACTGCGGTGGGGACTGCGGGTCGGTCGACAAGACCACACTGAAATGGGTCAAGATTGATGAGTCTGGTTACGATGCCGCAAATAAGCAATGGGCGGCCCTGGCAATGATCAGCAACAACAACACCTGGTCGACTACGGTGCCATCCAGTCTCGCTGCTGGAAAGTACGTCTTCCGCCACGAGATCATCGCTTTGCATGGAGCCGGCTCAGAAAATGGAGCCCAGAACTATCCCCAATGTATGAATATTGAGATTACCGGTTCTGGAACCGAGAGCCCCGAGGGTGTTGTCGCGACCGAATTGTACTCCTCTACGGACCCCGGCATTCTTTTCAACCCATACACCACCATCACGAGCTATACCATCCCGGGACCTGCCCTTTTTGGTTCCGGATCCACTGGAAATACTCCTGCTCCATCCAGCTCCGTTACTCCAGCCTCTAGTGCTGCACCCACTGTTACCCAAGCACCGGTCAGCTCCGTCACTGCCACTGCCAGTCCAACCTCCAAGAAGGCTAATGTTGCTACATCTACCGCTTCCTCTGCGGCTATTCCCACTCAAACTTCTTCGAGTGGAAACGCTGGTGCTCTCCCTACGTTGCCTGAGTCCTTCACCCTCGAGACTTTTATCTCTTGGCTGAGCGAAGTTGGTAAGGCGTCCGGAAACAGCGTTCGCCGTCACGCTCGTGATATTGCACGAATTTAAGACATGATGAGACGCATCTCAGAGCCTTTTTCACTTCCCCTTGTATATTTGAATAAGTTCTTTTTGTATATATTATTATTCACTTCTCTATGGTTGAAGAATACCCTAGAACTGTTTTGCCCAACGGCCGCCCATACTTTGATCTTGATCCCGCGCGATAGGTGATATTCGAGATTAGATCCGAGCGTAGCCCGCATCTAACCTCTCTCTGCCGAGCAACCCCTTCCGAGAATCCGCTTCCATATATAATCCTTCACACGCCCTTTGCTGAACCGTGCGCAAAAATGTCATTTCATCAGTTAGCCCCTCTGAACAACTTCCTACCACACGACGCAAAATCTATATATTACTATGCTGCCCACTGACTATAGTCCCCCGGTTTCGACAAGGAAAGGATTTTGGATATTTTGGAGGTCTCTAGAGAGGATAAGTTCAAGGACCAAGGGTTGAACTTGCTATTCTTATCATAGGTGTTACTGGGTCCAGAGAGAGCACTGATTTCTCGTTTTACAGAGGAAAACGTAGAAATCGGTCATCCTCTTGAATATTAGAAGCCTATACCCAACACACTGGGCGATGTCAAAAATAACCGATGGGGCTACAGGCACCACAGAAGGCGAAAGTATACGATTACGCACTCACGCGTACAAGTACTTCAGAATATTGTCTCTACTCTGTCTGCTATTATATTAACGACAATACCCGCCTTTCGGGAATTATCCATCTCCACCATATCACGGATCGGCACGTGGCCAGGTCTTCTCTCTAGACTTTGCGGAGACGTAAAAACTTCTGCGGTGAAGAGGACTACCTGAACATAACGTTAGATACAGCGATGTGGAACTATTCAAGGCCCAGATGTGGTAAAGCGATGGGGGGGGGAGCATCCTCGCGTCAAAACAGGACCTCTTTAGACAATTAGTCAGTAGTAGGGCTAGAATTTGGAGAGACGACGACGACTTCCGAAGCGCATGCAGTATTATCGAGCATATTGCGAAGCAAAAAAGCGAGCCATGACCGTACTACAACAGGAAATGGTTGATGACGGGAAATCTCTTGGGAAAAATGATGGGTTGGAAATCTTGAAGAAGGCCTAGAGAGGATGTGTAAAGTGCTTGAAGCCGAGCCTGATAATTTAGGAGAGGCTCATAAGAAGTAATAAGAGACCACGATGAGGATTTGAAACCCATGATTTCGGACTAGAAACGAGACTATGAGGAATGCATAAGATGAACAGATGTTGATAGAGGAACTAGCAAAGCATCAAACGGAATGGAATGCAAATAATACATTTGCGGAAGCCGACCGATGACGGCAAAAGACGGAGAGGAACATGTCGCGCGTGCATTTTATCCACGTATATATATTCTTCTGCTGTGCTTAGTAGGAGGTTGACCTTTTGCCACTTGCAACAGAAGACGCAGGACCTAGAAGAGCAACCGGATTGTACCGAAAAGGACTATACATAGGAGGCAACTCAGCTTAGGCCAGAGGTATAGGGAAAGTGGAGGCAAGATAAGAAGAGGGTTGCCAATCAGCGGAAGAAGTTGAGAAAGAAGGAAGATATGTCGAAATAAAGCTGAAAGAGTAACGGCCTCTCTCGTCCCGGGAGCCTGGGCAGTCACGCATAAATGCGGAAGCTACTATGAGCTATTCACTCATACGCATGTTGTAAAAGCCTCTCACGCTAGAATCGAAACTTCTTGGGCCAACTTGAAGGGTACCACCGCTGCTCTGTATGTACATAGAACCCTGATTAACTTTAGTAAATAATACGGTAAGGGTGATGGGTACATTTAAATCTTGTTTTAAATGAACCCATAAGGATTTCGCAAAAGGCTGATCAGGCCGTACATAATCTTAGCAAGTTATGGAAAAAGTGGCACAGTGCTTGGAGTCGCTAAACATCACCTCGACAGCTCGTAAACGTTACCCGTTTGAGCTCTCTTCTGAATTTAGATTTCCGACGGGCGAAAGATCGTCATCCAGGCCGACTCGAGCTGTGGAGCCAATCAGAGTGTTTTGGCTGAGTTTCTTCTTTCTTTCTGATTGGCTACATAAGCCGTTGGTGCTGACAGCGCTTCAAATCCAAATTCGGACCCCACGCTAGGTCGTATCCCAGCTCCAGCCTCCTGGAAGAGAATACTTAACTTCCCCCTACCTACAAACCTCGCTCTAGAAACAAGACTTCTCAAAAAATCCACTCCTTGCGTTCTCTCGGAATTTCATCGCCCCTGCCAGTCTCCCAAGAGCTGCTTGGCATAATGCCGCTTGGCAGGATGGGATCCAAAGGAACTAACTCTCCAACTTGTTTAGCATATTCATTCTTGTTTGCGTCTATAATTGTTCAACTCACGCTTGCTACAAACGATACGCGACCCTGCTACAACGCCACTGGTGGTGTTGCACCAGACCATCACCCGTGCGTCAGCTCAGAAACAAAGGAAATATCGCACTGCTGCACTACCTGGGACACCTGCCTAGGTGACACACTATGTTTAAGCCAGTGGGGAACATTGTACGTTGGCACATGCACCGTCAAGTCTTGGGATAGCGGCCGAGGGGATTGTCCGAAGTATTGCGCAAACTGGAACGAGGGTATGAATCGTTTTCGTAGAAGTAGTCCTCATGTCATTGGGGTCGATTTGGGAAGGAGGGTGTTGGTGATAACTATTCTTAAGCACCTAGACTGATTCGTGTTGGTAGAGAATCTCCTCCCTGACATCGGCGTTTGCAACTGGACAGATGGATCTAATCAATTCTGCTGCGGTGTCACTGCTGTCGGAATCAACAAGTGTTGCGAGAAAACCTTCACAATCCAGAATGCGACAAACCAATACGTTGTCCAGCGACCCTGGAATGAAAATGCCGTCAACACCTCCTCCACCCCTTCCTCAACCACATCCACACCAACCTCTACATGTACTGCTCCATTGTCAGAGAAGGGTGGTGATAACAAGGGCGCAGAGATCGGCTTGGGCGTTGGATTGGGAATACCTCTGCTCATAGCCCTGGGAATGCTGTATTGGGAACGGAGAAAAAGACGCCAAATAGAGACGAAGATGTTGCAACTCAACCCGACGACCCAGGATCACGAGTATGTGGGCGTTCCCCAGGCACCTCTCTCTGGCGAGATGTATCAGGATGCATATCCTCATTCCGGATCAGTGATGAGTGAATTACCTTCGGTCTCAGGCCCGAAGCCAGTACATGAGCTAGGAAACGATGCGCAAGATAACAGGTGATGTGGACCCCTTGAAATACCTACCCCGAATAAATGATGAATGGTACCGGAGTATGTCCATAGCTCAGCGCCGCAATATCCATATTGGAGGTTTTCTGGGATCTATGCCCTCCAAATACCGCTTCATGTGATGATTTACACCTCCCACAGAACATGTCCAAAGAATCATGGAACTCCCTGTCGCTCTTTATTTGCATAGGCTTTGTCTCCGGTGGGACGGGGCCGTGCGGCCGTGGGACAATCAAACACCTTTGGGGTTCGCAGGATATGTGTGTTCGGCGGCGTGCTCCGTTCCTGTTTCTATGGATTGAAGAGGTTCATCAGCTCCCATACATTGAAGCAACTACCAACCATTCTGTGCGATCCAAAGAATTAAAGAGGAAGGAATGGTAGCAAGAAAGCCATGGCGTACGATCTTGGAAGGTAAATGTAGTGCATAGCCTGTTCATTGTGGAATTGATCGGTGGTAGTCTTTGTGAGAAAACTCGAGACTCGATAGTTTGAAGTGAAGTGCACTGTCAGCATTGACGAGATGCTAACGGGGGTAATCGATACCGTAACATTATCCATTGGTGATTCGCTGAGGCCCTGCAAGTGTTAGCGCACATTTCAGAACTCTCAGTGCACACAGGAGGCTCAAAATGGCCCCTGCAAGCGTTTTGCGATTGAGCTGAGTTTCCATGGGGAACGACACACTGGATCAGCTGCATCTTTTCCGATCGTGAATGCGATAGCATGACTGGACAATGTTCTGCAAGGCTGACTTTCAGCCCTTGCCTTATCTCCCGCCAACCAATAGGCGAAACACACGTTGTCGTGCAATTCTGAATCTCAGGCTTGGCAGTCAAGCATCAGCGACCCAGAAGGAGGGAGCAAAGCGAGCCGGGCCTCAGGAGGTGCATGAGAAACACGAGCCTCAGCCTCGACCCCACTCTGCCCCGCCGTCAGCTTCCCTTGCTTCAGACAATGTGTCTTGTCGGCGAAGATCCTCGTGTGAACACAAACGGCGTCTTAATTTTAAGGGATCGAGGAGAAAAGGACGTTAGCTATCACAACGCCAGCTAGTCGCGTGGCAGCTAGTCTTCTCGACAACATGGTTCCGCGGGTACTGGATATCCCGGATATCAGGTAAGGCATCGAGGGCAACGCTTTTCGTCAGCGGATGTGTAGTTGACCGGTAAAAGTCTAGGAGACATCGTTATTGTAGTCTTGGGAGTCACAGGCTCTGGCAAAAGTACTTTCATAAATTACCTCTCAGACATTGAGCTTGAAGTTGGGCACGGTCTAGAGACTTGTAAGAAATTCCATGGCTAAACGTTGCTCTAGTTAGAGTACTCACATATAATGACTTAGGTACCGACACAGTCCAGTGTGTGCCATGCACTCTAGATGATGGCCAGCGGATATGGCTCCTTGATACTCCCGGCTTCGATGACACTTACCGATCAGACACCGAAATTCTCAAAGAAGTGGAAAATTGGTTAAATACGTCGGGGATCAGGCTAACTGGCATCATATATCTACAAAGCATATCCGATGTTCGCTTTACAGGTCGGGGGTTGAGGAACTTGCGGATATTCAAGAGACTTTTAGGTGAAAATGGACTAGCAAATGTGGTCTTAGCTACAACTATGTGGACATATATTTCGGACGAAGAGGGAAGGAGACGTGAGGCAGAGATTAAGGAGATGGGGGAACCCTGGCAGCACATGATCAAGCAGGGAAGTAAAATCTTCCGGCAGGATGACGGGAGAAGGTCTGCGTTGGCTATTGTTAAGTACCTAATGAGGACCGGAATTTATGCGTGTGAAGAAGTCCAGACAGAGGCGTTGGCTGCGAATATGAAGTTAAAGGAAAGAACTGCGAACCAGGAGGTTCAGAGGAAGATAGATATGTTGACTGCGGAAACAAAGCTAAAAGAAACATCAGCGACCACAGATCATCAGAGGGAGATAAAAGAGTTAGTTGCGAACATGAAGTTAAAAGAACGGTTGGCTACCCCAGATGCTCAGAGGGAGGTGGTGGACAAAAAGAAAAAGCAGAGGATAAAAAGGAGAGATAGAGATACTGCACCTCCATCGCAGAACAAGTTCCAACTTTTCGACGACGACCTCGAAGACCCTACCAGGACCTCCAAAAACGAGTCTGAGCCGCTACAGAAGCTGTCTGATAATTGGTTTAGTTGGCTGCGTCCACTTCAACGGCTTGTCGAGGACAGCGTTGATCCCGACTCCAGGGTGAAGATCGCCATCTTGGATAGTGGAATCGATCTAATACACCAGGACATACATGCCCAGAACGACAACATCAAGGATGTACGTAGTTGGGTGGATGGGAAACGAGGTGCGCGAGACCGGAGGGGAGGTGACCAGTGTGGCCATGGAACACATGTCGCAGGCTTAGTACTAAAAGTAGCTCCCGATGCGGATGTTTACATTGCTAAAGTGACTAACGGGACGTCATTGCAAGACGTTGACCACATTGCAGAGGTACATTCGCTTCTTATTCTTTCCAACACGTGGATCCTAAGAGCACTAACAACGCTAGTTAGGCAATCAAATATGCAGCATCGGAATGGAAAGTGGACATTATCAATCTCTCCTTAGGCTTCCCCAAAAGCGTTTACTCCATCGAGTCAGTCATTCGCCGTATTGACTGCCTCATCTTCGCGGCTGCTTCTAACGGCGGGGGCAACGAGAATCGGGCATTTCCAGCGACACTCGATCAGGTAATCTGCATGCACTCTACAGATGGTCGCGGAAATCCCTCGCTTTTCAATCCAAATCCCCTTGATTACTGCGACAATTTCTGCATTCTTGGCGAAGCTGTAGAATCTGCATGGCCTGGGGAAACTCCAGATGGCAATCCGAACTTACGACGCAAGTCAGGAACCTCATTTGCAACCCCGATTGCGACCGGCGTGGCTGCTCTTGTCCTCGAATTTGCAAGGCAGAATATAAAGAACAATGAACAGTTGGAAAGATTGAGGACCTTCGGAGGGATGAAGAAAGTCCTGCGTCTGATGGCGGATAAGAGGTCGGGAAGTCCATTCCGATATATAGCACCTTGGACGCTTCTCTCACCTGAGGACGCTGTGGGGGCGACTAGGGATATTGAACGGGCTTTGAGGTAATATCTCAGTACATTAGACTAGGTTTATACTGTAATAGCTCTTGTTGCGCTTCAGGTTTGTTACCCCATTTCAAGCCCCTAGCATCCTAGTGGCATATGTATGGCTAGGTTCTTTGAATAATGTTTAGCTAGGATACGGGTAGGTTAAGGAACGTCCTAGATTAAGCAGCAAATCAGGGTGTCCAGGCTCATACTCAAATACCCGTAACCGTTATAAGGGTTATATATTACTCTCATGACTTGCTTAAGTTTCCCTGATGTCTTCAAGCGACATCCAAAACACCATTAGGAAGTTTTGCTGAAATTCTATGACTTGTTCAACTCTTTAATGATCATGCGCGATTTGAGGCCTTCCTAGGGTAACACGCAAACGCACTCCCCGTCCTCATCGACTACAGTCGCGATTTCGTCTCCTCCGAACTCTGCAGCCACGGCCTCATCTCCTTCAACTGTGTCAACATCAAAAACAGCGCTCGATTCCTTCGACTCATCTGATGGCAGCCCATACAAGGCCCCCTTTGTGTATTCCTCTTCTTTAACCTCACCGTTCCTTTTCTTCATTTTGACTTTACTAACCCTATAGGCAAATACGAAGTCATCACTAGCACTCCACTTCACGCCTTCCTCGCTCTCGCTCTGGATTCCAAGCTCCGGACCAGCTTCGACCGGTGCAGCCATGGCAGCCCCATCCAATCCAACACTCAACGTACCACCGTGCCCACTTTTCTTGCTAGATTTGGCCTTCGCCCCTCTGACAATCTTCAGCCCAGTGATGATGTACACTGGCTTACGCAATCTGCTCTTTTCGACATACCGTCCCACATTCGGCGCCTTCACCGCAGACTCCAGATAGCCATTCAGGGTCGCAGGGTCAAAAAAGGTAGTCTCTAGCCTATCAAAAGCATATTCTTCTCCCTTGCCGCGCTCCCAGTTCGTCGACGCGTCGGCACCGGCACCAAGGATGAGGTCTAGAAACTTAGCATACAAGCCGATGGACGCCTTGTTGGACTTGCTGAGCGTGGACTTCCACTCCGATTTCACCGTCGTGATGAGGGCCTCTGCGGGTGGGGGTATAAGCGCGGAGCCAGGATTTAGAGGGCGATCGGGGAGGGTTGGGTCAATGAGAATGTTTCCGAGACGGATAGGCCCTATGGGCGGGGGAGGATAGTCGAAAGAGGGAGTAAGAAAGTATGTTTTCTTTGGGTTCGCCATTTCACGGTGGCTTCGTGGAGGTGATAGTATGTTGGCCTGAGAGGTAACAGGTGCACTACTCTCGAGTAGGGTCGTGTTCAGCTCCTGCAAAGTGCCGCTTCGTCTGGAGAAAGCTTATCTAAATCCAGCCAGCCACGTAGACGCCCTCCACTGGTGTTCGTGTTTTTCAACTAGGAATACGAAGACCCTAAATGTTCATTTCAGCACTGAGCCTGGTACTTTTTAGGCTTAACTAAGACATAAAGATAAAGCGTATTAACACGGCCGTGGACCACAAAGTCAGAGAAGCTTTTGATAGTGGTGTTCAATGTCGATCAAGTGCAAAAATAATGTGGCTTCGGACCAGTTACCCCTCAACACCACGCCAAGCATCGTAGGCCCCTACCTATTATGGTCCCGCATGGGGCGCTATCCCAACCTTCGCTCTAACACAATTCATCAACGCATTATCCACAAAAGCAATTCTCTGTCTCATCCTTCTCTCATGCTCATTGACCTCTATAAGTATGGAATACTGACCGTAATGCAGCCTATCGCATTTTTCGTTGTTCTATTAGGAAGGAATCTGAGAGAATTATTCACACATCTGCTCGGAGACGATTCTCGGAGACATATTCGAAGGTTTGGCAACTGCACAAGTTCTAGTTGGTGTACGCCTGTGCATTCTCTGCCTTTCCATGCATAATGCCATGCACGTACGTCTCTCCGACCAGTCTGTATGTAGCTTCCCAAAAGGCCTGAGCAAACCAGGGACCTTTCACCCCCTAGAAATCAAATCCCATCCCTAGCTTACGGCGTGATACTAAGTCCCGTAAGTAGCATAGTAGAATTTCAGACGTAATGTAACTGTACTTGACTCAAATTTGGTCGTATTTTTACGCCTCTACGTGCGAGGCTTTTGGCAGCCATACAAAGCTCACTATCCCGACTTTATGGAAGTTAAGGATCGGAAATTAGTGGCTTTTCGATCGTGTGTTAGCTCTCGGATCGATTCGTAATTTACCTTTGGTGCCTTATTGTGACTGGGGCCGGTATTTAGCTTTTTGTTTCCTAGCTCCCGTACATAAGAAGTCCCCTTCAATCTGTAGCGTAGCTAGCAAAAGCTTACACGTAGCGTAGTACGCTACGCTGAATACGCTATTTAGATGATTCTCGTCTTCGACATTAGCAGAGCGACGCTCCATTTCAAATTCTTGGTAGGAAAAGGGAAAGTCAGCTCAATCCTCCGAAATAAGGCTCGCAGTGGATCCTTACACATTATGTAACGCATTGGAGGCTTAACTGTAAATTCTTTCGCTTGCAAGAATTCTCAAGCCGGGTCAGTCTTCCTTCACGTGGCAGGTCATTTTCCGGCGTATTCTACTTGTGTGCTCTCAAGACCATTGCGGATAGCCAGTGTGCACGACAGAATATGCTTCCCATCCCTATTTACTTCGTAGCACCGCCGTGGGCTTCTAGGATCTGGACATGGTAGGAAGCTCGGAAGTGTTTTATACGTGTGGTGGAGGACTCTTTGGCAAGCCGCGCTCACGCGCCTAAGTTTGCCGAATCCAAATACAAAAGAGACTAGATCCCACTCTCCATTGTAATGAGAAAGCACTGAAGAATGCCCTCTGCCGTTTTCTCTGTAACCCAGTGATCCCGACGACCACTTAGATGTGATCATCGCTCAATACTTTCGATATCGTGCTTACCCACGAACAGACAAGGCTGATTGCATCGTTAAAATAGAATAGCTGATAAAAGAAGATTACGCAGTTTTCGTATCATATGAGTCGGTGACGTAATACTTCATGATCGGGAGCGATAAGCTACCGAGGACTATAAATGGTTTTCGGAAGTAGGTCGCGACCGGGTGCGTTTTCTATCTTAATACATGAACTGCCATCATTGAAGGGCTGTCATTATCCTCATGTCGGGTGGCATGTTGTATGAAAGCTCCTTCGACGACCCGCAATTACCTCGGTGAGGGTAAGATCACGTGAAAGTTCAAGCCAAAATACAATTAAATTTTAAAGTGAGTTTGTAGCTTTAAAAACCATTACAACTATGGGAAGGGAGTTCATGATTGGGTTAGAATGAGTTGAAAATTCGTCGTTTCATCCCTCCAGAATCTAAGCTGGGTAGATATTTGAGTTCGTAAAGTGGATATGAAAAATAACACCAGCCTTTAAATCGGACACTGGACATCTTTTCTTGAATTTGGCGCTCGCTAAAAATACAATATGCGGCAGTTTTTTAATCATTCTAAGGATCCTCTAGGAAGCTGGACTGTAGAATCGATACTCTAATGATAAATAAATATCCTAGCTGAGACAGGCGTGAATTGGCGATGCAGAGTGTATCTACCAATGAACTAACTCGCAAGTCTCACAGGATAGGCAATTAGCACTTTCAAAGGCTGCAAGGACTGGGCAGATAGATAGAGCATTCCCGAGAGGTTTCATTAGTCCGAGTCCAACTCCCACTATGCACACTCACTACAGTCCACATCCTTGCTAATATCATTGACAAAGCTGACGGTGCCCTTGTTTGCCTCGTGTATCCCGACCACGTTTGAAAAAAATCCTCGTGTTTTGAAGAGGAACAGGAGTGTTGTGTGAGCAATAATGACGACGCGGACGCCACTCCCCCTATGACCTCATCATTCGCTTATTGATAAGCTTAATTCGCACGGCGCCGATCACCAGCACCACCCTGCGACGATCCCGTCCCAGTCCCAGATTCATGGAGACCCAACTCTCACCAATGAGCTGCGGATTCTCTACCAACGGATTTCGACTGGACGACATTCGTCCGAATCCCCTCCAAACGTCAAATCGAGTGCCCTCCCGAACCGTCTCGGTTGTTACTGCCACGCGCCATTGAAACTACCTGACGCATTCAATGGTTGGATTTCATCATCGTCTGGCAGATTACGGCTTCAGCTGCTGGGGGGAAACTCCACTAACGTGATTGTATAAATGATGGCATCCAGTTTTCCGTCCTCGGACACCTTGACAGACGCCACTTTCGTCGGCGGGGTATTTTTCTTCAGCCCTCTTACTAGCCGCGAATTTGCGTCTCTGATAGCATATACTTGCAGTAGCAGCTATTTCTCTACCGAGGACCCTTTGTAACTTAGAGTTTTCTTACTTTCCGTCCGATCTACGGCTTTCTAGTTGTTTTCTCAGCCTTGGAAACAGGTTTGAACCTGTACTTCCCGCACGCTAATCGTGCTTTACACTCCTCTATTCCTTTTTGTACCAATACCCACAACGGTTGCGGCGTCCCCCAACCATGGCACGACTCTCGCGAAACCTCCTACCTCTGCATAACAGAGATCGTTCCAACGGACAGAACGCCGTCGCTCTGGGAAATACCACCGGTGCCACATCCTCCTCACAACGCCGTCCTCTCTCCTTCCTCTCCAACAGATGGCGCAACGAGCTCGTAGCCGCCGCGGCGGAATTCGCAGGAACATTCATGTTCTTGTTCATTGCGTATGGGGGCACTCAAGTTGCGAATACGGCAGCGATTGCGGATAATGCGCGCACGGCGGGACAGCAAGATGGGAGTATTACGCAGGCACCGAATACCAGTGTGTTGTTATTTATTGCATTGAGTTTTGGGTTTTCGCTAATGGTGAATGTGTGGGTTTTTTTCAGGGTTAGTGGGGGGTTGTTTAATCCCGCTGTAAGTTTCCCTTTGTCTGCAATCCAGACTGGAGCAGATCTGCAATTATAGGGTGGGATAAAGAAGGCAGGTATTATTTTGGAGGACGAGGCTGATGGCGTGTACAGGTAACGCTTGGCCTCTACCTCATCGGCGCACTAACAGCCACCCGCGCAATATTCTGCTTCGTATCACAAATGCTGTCCGGAATATGCGCGGCTGCCGTTGTAGATGCGATTCTCCCCGGCCCGCTGAACGTCTCGACAACGCTTGGAGCAGGGACTTCCATCGCCCGTGGCGTATTTCTGGAGATGTTTTTAACAGCCCTCCTGGTGTTTACAATCTTCATGCTTGCGGCTGAGAAGCATAAAGCTACGTATCTCGCTCCGATTGGAATTGGGTTGTCGTTGTTTGTTGCGGAACTTGTTGGTAAGCATCGCCTCCCCAAGCCTTCCTTCTCTTCCATTCCAATTCCCCTCCCAATAGCCATCCCACATAGCTGTCAGCCCCACGCCACAAGCCAATTAAGATTTACTATGCTCATAATCAACTTCAGGGGTTTTTTTCACCGGCGGATCCCTCAACCCCACCCGGTCCTTTGGACCCTGCGTTGTAACGCAAACCTTTCCAGGCTACCATTACATATACTGGCTCGGGCCGCTCATGGGCACACTTCTCGCATTCGGAATGTATAAAATTGTCAAAAGCGTGGAGTACCAGACCGTGAATCCAGGACAGGACTTTGACGACCATGAGGTGAGTATCAGGTTTTTGGCTTTCAAGTCGTCGTCTGTTCCCGTGCACTCTAGTTCTTTGCAGTTCAGCTTTCTTTACCTACAACGCTGAAGACTTGTCTGCGGTAAAACTGCCCAACTAAGGCTCTCCTTAGGCTGAGCTCTTCAAACCTCCGTCCAATCCCTCGCACAGGGAAGAAGTTGCGCGTCCAAATGTTGCGGCTATCGTCGCTGAAGAAGCTGTGCGAATGGCGTCTCGTAGTTCGGGCTCTGGGTCGGGCTCGGGACATATCCATGGGATTCAGGGTCGAATGTCGCCGGAAGGGGATGGCGGGGTTAGATTTGCGGGGAACGAGGAGAAAATTTCCCCTGTCGCGTCGCGGAAAGGTTGATGGAGTTGGTTTCGAAAAGGGTAGTTTTAAAGGCAAGGTTGGCAAGTACAGAGTGATGCTCCAGGCCAGCTACTTTTACATCTGGGGAGCAGATTAGGATCAACTACAGAGATCTGAAGTTTTAAAACGCTTTAAGGAAGCTGAGGGGGCATAATCAAAGGTTTCAAGTTTGTTGGTGGGTTAAGTAATGATACCACTGTCGATTTAATTTCGCATACCTTCTCACTGGCTCGCCCATTCTGTACTATTTCCTGCGAAAGCAGGAGGTTCCAAAGTCGACAAGCATAGTGTCGAATCCGCCTGCATCACTGCGCACATCATCCACATCTCTCCCCCTCTTAAAATCTGGCCACCAACTCTCACCCACCCCACACCTCATCGCGCACATAGACAGACCCTCATATCACCACCCCTCATAACCCCCTTCCTTACTTCTCCTAATCGAGCTTCGGTCTTGTAGACGACAAAACCTGCGAGTAGATGCGCAGTCAGGACCGCGAAGGTGAGGAAGAAGGTTAGGAGCGCTAGGATTAAGAGGGAGATTTGTAAGGCGGAAGGTGAGGAGCGTCGAGGCGGAGTTGGAGGAAGGGGTTGAGGCATTTGGTGTGGGATTGAGTTGTTGTGGCTGGGGTTGAGTGGAGGCGGAGGCAAATTCGCGGTGTTGGGGTTGGATGGACGAGGGGGAGGTCCGACTTCAATATTGGCGTGGTCGTGAGGAACGGTGGTAGGTGATATTGCCCGACTGGTATAATATTGAACCCGTCCACTCCCAACTCTTCCTGCTGTCGGCGGATCGCGTGCGGCTTCTACTATGCCAAACATATCATCCTGGCTCTCCTGCCCCTGTTCTCGCGAATCAGATCTCCTAGCCTCACTTCCAGCTTTATGCCAAGCACGCATCTGCATTTGCCCTATCCCCTCCTTCTCCCTCTCCTTCCCCCTCCCCCTTATCGGAAACGGAGGGTCCCACGGCTTCCTCACCATCTTCTGCACACTCGTCTCCCTCTCTGTCTTTGCTCTTTGGCCTTCTGTTCCAACCGTCTGCGGATCCTTCTCAGTTGTCTCCCGCGAAGGTTCGACCGACTTAGGACTGGGTGGTGATGGCATTGGTGGGTGTTCAGAGGGGCCGTCGTGGGACCCCATTGATAACGGCGGTGGGGAAGAATGAAGAGAGGTTGATTGCGATGATATAGGGGGGGTAGATGTTTTGGCATCAAATGGGTAGAACTCGAGCCGTAAGGTCGCCGGAGATGGAACATAGAGATGGAGGCGAGGGAGTTGGACTATTAGAATTGGGATGATGATGAGTATGAAGGACAGGAGGAGTACGGGCATGCGTTCGAAGTACGTGGCGTTGAATGTGATGCAGTGCGATGAGATACCGTCCGGGGCCGAGAGAGATCGAGCGTAGGTGGGTAAGTTGGAAGAGGGGTCGATATGCGGTCTTCGCTGGTGCGTTGCGTTGCGGAAATTGGGTCTGTACGAAGGGAAAGCCGGGGACTTTTGTAAAGGAGAGCAAGTCTGGGAGCGATGATGATGAGAGAGGGTAGTATCTTACAACTCCTCATCCCTCATCCTCGAGCACCACACACAAAGACCTCGCTTCAACTCCTTTTCCCCCTCCAGTGCACCTTCCTTTCCAACCCCTGCTCGCTGTGCTCTGGGAAGTCACCGTCCCCTTGTGTACGTTTGTCTCAATCCCCCTCTCCAACCAAATCTCCCACCCAGCCTAACCTCTCCCTCTTATCATCCACCACCCTCGCATACTCAAGTAATAAGCGATATAGATAAATCAGCATGTCTTCTTTCCTTAACACCTTCTCCGCCCATTCCTTACCCGCTAGAGCAATGCGCCGAGCTTGGTTATCGTGACTATCGTCTCGATGCCTGCCGCGCTTGGAAAGAACTGAAGCCTTGGCAGGTGGAGGAAGGGTGTAATCGTCATCTCGCTCATTCACTTGGATTCCCTGTTCTTCTTCTATACCATGTTCCTCAGAAGACGAATGTTCTCCAGCCAGCTTCGGTGTCATGGACCCTCCAGCTCCTGCCCCATCATTCCTCCCCCCGACGAAAAACCTCCCAATCGCATACACATCCACAAAAGTATTGTCCAGCGGCACAAAATGCACCCACGGCCACAAACGCCCATCAAACCAATGGCGATACACACTTGCTCGAAGCGGGACAACCTCCCTCCTCAACGCGTTGATAAACTCGCTATCGTTGTCGCTGCCGTTGCCGTCCAATATCGCCGTGTACTTGTATTTCTCTTGTTCTCGTGGAGCGGGAGGTGCGGTGACGGAGAAGAAGTCTGAGTTGTATGGGCAGTGATCGGAGGGGGAGAGTTCGTCGCAGTGGAGGTCGGTAAATGCAACGTCGGCCCAGGAGTGGATCCATTCTGCGAGCGTGCCGTTGGTTTGCTCGGGGAGGTGGTAGGGATTTTGCGCTAGCAGTCTGAAAGTGCCTGCTGGTCCGACACCCGCGTTCTCCGGTTCACCGTTCACGGGAGTGCGGAGTGAGGCTTCAGCGAAAGCGACATGTGAAGCATTCATCATGCTCACAAATCGGTGGCGATGAAACCGCTGCCAATTGAGTGCAGTATTATGCCCACCAGTCGCAGGACCGCGCCAAAACAACACATCCTGTTTCTCCTCCCAAGCCACTCTCACTCCTTCTTCTTCCTCCCCCGTGCCCAGGGAATAAAGACTCTCATTCCACGCTGAACCCCCAGGAATCAAAACATCGTTCCCCACGCTAAACTTCACTGCACCAAACCACGGAAAAAACTTCACACTAGCACTCATACTCTCCGGTCCAACGAAACCTCCATGCAAACCCTGCAACTCTGGCAACGCACAAACGTCCCCCGCGCGAGACCAATTCCCGACAAACCCACCAAACGCCTCCGACCCGTTTGGAAACGTCGTCGGCAGCATATTGGCGGCAGAGTGAGCGGAGGAAGTATGGCCCTGGGGATGCCAGATATCAACGAAGAGAGAGGTTTTCCGGGTCCAGGAGCGCGGATGACAGGCTGGACGGACGAGGCTCCAGTATGGGCGCGGTCCTCGCGATGAAGTTGGGTGTGTGAGGCGAGCGCCTAGCCATTCTGGGTCGAAGGTGTAGTTTGCGATCTGCTGGTCGCTATCGTAGCTAGAAAACTGAGTAAGAACATCCATCGGCGCAGCAAGAATCGGCCTCGCTAGCTCAAGTGCGGTATCGATTGTCTCCCACGGTACCACAAGCCCTGGCTCCGCATTACTATTAAACGGGACATCTACATCCGGTAACAGGACATGCTTCTCTCTTGCTAGTGCTCCTAGCATATTCTCCCAAAGCCGGAGCCTATCATTCTTCCCCTTCGCATCCAGTCTAACAACCCCATCTCTCACTTCAACCCGAGGTCCCACCGCCGCCGCTTTCATCCTCAACACTGGCGGGTCGATGCCCCAGAAGGGCGCGAGGTCGTCATATATCTGATCCCAGAATGATTCTACCACAACGGCGCCGTGTTGCACAGCGAACGCATACCAGGCGGAGAAGCCGGGGGGTGGGTGGCGTTTCCGACGGGTCCTGTATTTTCGAGCCGCGTCGGATAAACTCTTCGCCTCGGTCTTTAACGCCCGAGTAAAATCAGTTTGTGCGGTAGACATTAATTGTGGAATGGGATGTGCGTCGGCGCTGTGAGAATGTAGATGCTCGTGACCGGAGATTATTCCTGGTGTGAGATCATCCAAGCTGGGAAATTTCGGGAGGCTGAGCTTGGGGATCGGGGACAGGCCTAGAGCGAGAGTTTCTCGGCTGGATGTGGTATTGTAGATGATAATTAGACATAACGCAAGGGATGTGAAGATTAAGAGTTGGAGTGCTCGCCAGGAGGGATGGGGACGGGGGAGGAGGTGTTTGGTCTGCATGGTTGGGTGGTTGTTGGCGCGGGAAGGTCTACCTCGGGAACTCGAAGATAACAGGATGCGAATGCAGATTCTAGGGCCGGGGGATCGCGGTTGGGATCTTGTTCGTGATCACAGCTGCTGACTCGTCAAATGGATGTGAAGGCAAGCTAAGGCATAGTCGGGTGTGTTTCAGACGCCGCCGGATGAGCGAAGATATGCGTGCGGATCGGTACGTAGATGTTCTTCGAGGCAAACGAGGTCGAGCAAGTGAAGAGAAATAAGGATCGAAGGAGAAATATATGGAGTGAGAGAAGCAGGAAAATAGAAGACATAAATGGTTAGACGGGTTAATTAATGGGATAGAAAGTGTGGGGAATAAATTGATAGTGTCGCGTGTGCTGATGCATGCGGGTGCTGCATTCAGCCGCGTGGAGATGGCGAATCCTCGGAAGGCTTGGCGGATCTGGGGTAAGGATGGACGGGATGAACGGGATGGAATGGGATTTGGAAATTGATGGTGGGTGGGGGGGTGATATGCATGTGGCGACTTGTGTTATGCGGATTGGAACGATGGGCTGGAAGAGTGAAGGGGTTACCAAAATTCGTGTTATTATCATACCACAGAGTAGCACGCACCATGGCCAATATCTGTATCTTACCGTCCGTGATCCGTACCTATCCCATATTAAAATCCTCCCACCTGCAGTCGACGATCGCACATCACGCGCCTTAATACTGCTGACCCTCCATCTCTTCACTCCCACCTTCAGCCTCTTCATACCCTTCTTCATACCCCTCCTCATACTCCTCCCCATCAGCTTCTTCATACCCCTCCTCCCCACCGTCCCCATCTTCCTCATCATCACTATCCTCCCCACTCCCCTCGCTCTCCCCCTCACTCCCCGGATCATAATCCTCCTCATCCTCATCCTCATCTTCTTGGTCCTGCAACAACCTCGCCGCTTTCTCCAACTCCGTCTCCTCATCCCCGTCTTCCACCTTACTCTCCCCATTCGTGCCATCCCGCTTCTCAACCGGCGGATTCACGTTAAGTTTCTTTGCCCTCCGTGCCGCCGCCATACTCGCGTCCTGCAGCTCATGCTTCTGCACGTACTCCTGGATACCTGGGTAGTCTGCTTGGTCGATCATTGCAAACTCGATTTCCTGGTTGGAGGGGTTGGAGGTGGTGATGACGAGGTTGAAGGTGTTGCGGAGTACGGCTGTGTAGGATATGCTGTTTATAGAGGAAAAATCGAAGAATAAAAGGGGTTTTTTGAAGCCGAAGATTATGCCGACAGAGGTGAGGAAGAGGTAGCCTAGATCCGGATTCCGACGTTAGCTAGCCTCAGGAGGAAATGGCAAGGGAGGGAGGAGGCATGGGGAAGTATAGTGAAGGAGGGAACGAGGCATGGGGAAGATTAGGGAACGAGGGAACGAGGCATGGGAAGGTTAGGGAAGGAGGGAAGGAGACATGGAGAAGGTAAGGGAAGAAGGGAAGGAGACATGGGGAAGGTTAGGGAAGGAGGGAAGGAGACATGGGGAAGGTTAGGGAAGGAGGGAAGGAGACATGGGGAAGGTTAGGGAACGAGGGAGGGAGGTGTGGGAAAGGGGGGATAGACAGATGAAGACGGGGAATTCACCGTCTTTACTCCCCCGATGCGCCTTCACATGATACGCCTTCTCTCCCTTCCTATGATTCTGCACAATCGCGCTCTGGAAATCCTCTGCGGTGGGAAATATCACGGATTTCCCCGTCCCAGCCTGGATCAGGCAATGGTGTATTGCTTCTGCCATAGGGCCTGGGCCGGGGTCTTCGCCTTCAATGATGTTCTTGCCTGTCGCCTCTTCGAACGTCCATACGATGGCTTCGGGCGGCGAGGCTTTGAGATGCTCGGGCACTGGGTTTACGCCGTCGCCGTGGATAGGTAGGACCACGAAATTGTGCTGACGTTTGGCTTTTTCAGGCACGGGGAGACAGAATACTTGGTCCACGTCTTTCCAGGCAATTCCGAACTCAACCTTCCCATCAGCGCTGAGGCCCCTGATCCCGCCTTCCGCTTTGTTCGTGACCAATTCGAGCGTCAACTTTTTGCGCTGCGGTATTGAGAAGCTGACGCTGGGGTAGGAGCGCCATGCTTTCATATCGGTGCTCGCGAGTCTGCCTAGGCCACCTATGGCGCCGTCGGACACGCCGTTGCTGTCGTCTAGCTTGCGCTTTTTTGTCGCTGGTTCGGCAGAGGCAGGGGAGGTGTGGTTGAGCATGTAGGATGAGATGTCGCGGAATAGGGTGATTTGGGTGGGATTCTGGTCTTCCACGGCGCAGCGTCAGTATGTTTGTATACATGTATGCATATAACTCGTCAGAATGGTGTGTGGGAATAGGAGAAATTGCCATGAAGCCGATGGGCTTACCTATAGCCGCGTGCACTCTTTTGCGCAGCTCGTGATTGCCCGCAAATGCTAGGTCAATTTCTTGGGTATGTGCGCCTGCCATAGTTGAGTTGTGAGAGGCGTGAGACGTAATGAAGATTCGTGGTGAGATTGATGGTGCAGATGGAGTTTTGGCGTTGAAGGTTGGATGGGACGCGCCGTGGCTGGAGCGCGACTGGGCACGAGTCGACTCCTGACATCACCACGACTACCTCAACCTCATCTCCTAATAACCACCGCGAAATCTCATCAGCCGATCTGAATGCAGCCACGAGACGGCATTGGTCAATGAATTCGCCACTAACATGTCGTCAAGCTATCATAGAGAAGTTACGACCGCTCTGCCACTTAAGCTACACATAACCTACGGATGTAGGTCTACTAAGGAGCTATGCGAGGGTAAATTTTCGTATCAGAAGCGCTTCCCATCACAGAGAGCTATCATTCTGCTGTCACTGCCCATTGCTATCCCCTCGCAATGGCCATCATCATTCAGTAGCCCGACCTCTTTCATCCCCGTTTTCGAAGCCCGTGCACGTCTCTATCACTGTAGGCCATTCTCACAACAGCATCCAAGGAATCTAACTTCTACGTCAAGTATTGCACCTAAACTTGCTTCTGACCTACAAGTGCTTGGATGTAGCTAGACTTCATGTAATCTTGAAGAGATGTATATATGCCGATGAGTTCCAGGATCTTGAGGGATCCCGCTCGCAAATCACTCCGTGCAATGGCACAATAGTGTCCGGGAAGTGGTGCTGCGGCAAAACAACGACTTGCTGTACCCAGAACAATCCAAATGCGCGCATCATACCCGCAATATTCAGGATGAACATAAGCGTAGAGTCGATTTCATCGTTGACGTTTATATCACCTGGCCCGGCGCTAGCGTTGATTGCCACGGCCACTTTACCAACCTCTCCCAGTTCAACATACATCAAACCAGTTTGGAACAGAGGGAATCTCCCTCTGAGTGCGTATACTGGAATAATCGTCGCTGATGTCGTTGGAGCTTTGTTAGTTTTCGACATGAGTTTCTACTGGTCAAATCCCTACAGGGGATGAAGAGACTGGATATCCAAGCACCGGGTTCCAAAGCCCAAGATCTCCTCCCAGACACCACGCAACACTCTATTCCTCTAGTTTCAGGATATCTACCACGCATATTTAGGGGGGCGGGAGGCGGATTCAGAGTGAAAGATCACCCGTTGCTGACTCGCTGCAGGAACTAGATCCGTATGCGACTCAAGGGCTACCTTCAAGTGAAAGGATTGGGCTACTCCCGGTCGACAGGCATGAGATGCCTCTAAATACAAGTTATGGGGTGTTTTAAACACAGATATGTGTCTCCTAACGGATGAAGTTGCGAGATAAGGGAATCAAAGGACTCAAGGACCTCCAGCTCCCCGATTCCATTAACGAGAATATGCGGGCATGCACGCAGGTATTTTCACGCTACGGAAACGGACAGGGTGCATAGGGAGAACTGGGCGAGATCCAAGAAATGCCCAAATGCCTTTGGTTGAGAGAGGATGACTGAGCAAGTGAATCGGGCCAGTATGTCGTAGATGCAGTCCTGGTACAAGGGGCTAAGTTGGCCGATGAACCGCATATATGCTGGAAACGACCTCACTGACGTCGCCAGCCAAATCGCAATCTAGTTGGTCGGGCTGAGCGCCGACCTCGCCGATATCATCCCCGTGCTAGGTTGCTGACGGAATTGGAGCATTTCGAGATCCTTCGACTTGTGCAAGTTGAGCAAGGAGAAAACAAATCTGCGCATCGCAAACCGACTGGGAAGATATCTGGGAGCTTCTTTGTGGGCTAATCCTCTTTGCTGTCAATTTGTGAAGGCCCACCGAGGATGATAGAAAAGAGAAGGATATCGAACACGTCAGTCTCCAAGGCAGGAAAGCACAGTCAGGTAGCTAGCAATGACAAGTATTTACTGGAATTATCCTTGGCTAATGCTCAGGTCACACCGATAACCTGTTACCGGGAACTCCGTGCCTTTGCTGCCGATGCGATCAAGGAATACGCCTCTAACGACGCGCACTTATGGCATTCCGGCCTTAGCCTCAATTTTGTGTCCATATTAGCTCTTCTTAAGCTCAGCCTTAAAGCAGTTCATTCATCCAGAAGGAATTGAAAAGGCTTCTCTCGCTAGTTGATCACCCGCGCCGGAGCGTGGGGAGATCAAGGTACGTACCGCATATTCCCTGGAAACAAGCACCTTTGATGTGCAGAATGATCGACCATGACTCTGTACTACCCGACATCCGGTACATCATGCCTTTAGAGCTGGCGATTCGAGTCAGTTTGAGATGGGGGTGTGGGGGTTGGCGCACGTGATCGGAGTGAAGTACCTTAGTACACATTAGGGTATCCGGGGGGCCATTTCGGTACAGTGCCTGATATGCGTCTCCGATCGACAGCTCGAAAACAACCTTAAAAGCCAATCTTAACTATAATTCAACCTCGTAACACGTCAGCGCCTCCCGACGACCTGAGGGGCGGTCTGCCTTCCATGATGATCCTGGTCCGTGCCGCCCACCCCTTGAGGCACATCTCCTACGCCCCTAGTTTCGTATTACTACCGCACCACTCACGGCCTTCCACACAACCATATGCATTGCGTCAATGTCGAAAAGAGAAGAATATGGGACACGACAAACCAAGCACATCCTAGCACATGCCAGTAGAGATCAACAGATGTAAGTCCAAAGTTCAAGAGCCGCGCGAGGCGGGCACACAGCATTGACAGCCGAGCCTCACCAGGATACAAGAGGTTTGAAGATGACATTTTACTTCCATAGCCACGTAGGATTGTTGATGCTATGTCCATTGCTACATAGGTTATCTATCGGACTGGCCGCCTGCTCGCTCGACTGCCGAAATCTAGTCCCGATAATCCTCGTATTTACTGTTATTAAGCTCCTTCAGGAAGGACTTGCATCTCCTCTATTCTTCACCTATTTCTCGAGTCGCCGCATTCTTTCTAATTTCTTCTAATTTCTGTTTTCGTGTTTGCTGGAAAAATCAGATTTGGTGCATACCTAGGAATCCTCAGAATGAAGAAACCCGAATTCAAGATGCCCTCAATCAAACTCCCCTCCGTCAAAGTCTCCGAACTCAAGCATCATCTCCCGTCCTTCAAACGCCAACCCGTCTTCAATCGCCCCGTACAAACCTCCGGCCACCGTACCATATCCCGAGCGCTCTACCTCACCCTTCTCTGCCTGCTGGTCGCCTTCTCCACCGCCGTCATCGCGCTCAAAGCAATGACTTTGGAATTCATCGAGGACAACAGCGACACCGGATTCGTCTTCGAAACCGGCGACCCTGATCCTACGATTCTAGCTGCACTGCCCAGAATGTTGTTCGAAGCACCTGCGAAACTAGCAATCGTAGCAGCTGTAGTGTCCATTTTTATAGGGTTTGGGCATGGCGCTTTTATTGTGAAGGATTGGAAGGTTGGGGCGAAGGTATATATTCCCCCCACCCCCTCCCCTCTTCTCCATCCCTGGCAGTCACAAAAATAAACACAACGAGTCATGAGAAATAAAGACTAACCAGTGCTCCAGACGCAAACCTACTCCTTCCGCCGCAACACCATGTTCCTACACCTCACCAACTCCATCCTCATCCTCCTCTCCATGGTCGCCATCTACGTAACTCACAAATCCACCTCCCATTTCTCCGAACGCTACATCAACCGCAAAGCTGACCGGCCCGGCGACGGCGTTCGCTACAACATTGGTACCTTCGATCTCGAAACCTGGTCATGTGAACTCCAGTCTGTCAAAGGTGCTGAAATGGTCTGGGAGGATTACGGACGACAGTGCAAGGTTGAGATGGCGGGTAGGGCCGTCATGATTCCGTTTTTGGTAGTGGGGTTCGTATTAGCAGCAGTTGGGGTGGCAGGGATGGTGGGGGGACGCGGCGAGGAGGCGGAATTAACATGGAATAAACAGGGTGATAGGCGGTTGGATGGCGGGGAAGACGGGACAGGAATAGGAAGTGTAGAGATGGGTAAGCTTAATGATATATGACGGAGGGAGTGTTGCGCTGGCGCGAATCACAATCTTGCTATGGGTCATCTGCCTGCTGGCTGGCGTTATGGGTTGGCCGGGTGGTATTTTGCTTTTCTGTTATGTTCCGTTTCCCCTTTTTATTACCAAAAGGAAACACTATGCTAGGAGATACCCCACCACTTTCGTTAAAGCTAGATTAGACAGACCTGTTGCTGGACTTTCAATTGTCTATCTCTCACGCACGCATGCACAAACGCATGGGTTTTAGAAGGACAACGGGGGGTTGGGAGGGAGTTTTATGTAACCATGTGTAATGAATATAGTTTTTACTTCTTCTTGGGGTGATATCAGATGTGGGCAGAGGATTTGGTATCTCGTCAGAAAATCGGCGAAAGTGTGGTTTGGCAGGGGTTTGGAGAAATTTCGAGGAGTAGAATCCGGCATTAGAGCCCAGGAGGATCTTTGTATAGCCAGCTTAGATGATTTTTAATGGGGGTAATGACGTCTTTAATTGATATTTAATTATTCTTCAGGAGAGGACTTCAAGATTAACTTGTGGCTACCTATTAAACAGTATGTCTTCCGACTTGTTTTTCTTTGGAGGAAAGTAGCGTCCCCACGCATTTCCATGTATCTACTGAATGCTTCAAATCCCTCAATGCGGCATAGGTGTAATTGCCCTTTGCCCGCACCAGTTGACTGGTTCGCAGGCGCGGTGGGAGTGTGAACTTGATTCGGATCGGAAATCAAGGGAACGGTTCCACCGTCAGACCCAGCCGAAACCCGCCCCACAGGTTTGTCACAATCGCTAGTTTCCACATGGGTTCGGGTGCAAGGTCATCTGGTTGTCGAGTCGATTACGATAATGCGAGATGGGAAAATCCCTGATCCAAATTACGAGCTGTGGGCGTGCACAGAAAGTGTAGAAATAGATTCTAAAAAGAACAACTCTGCTTTAACAATTTGTGATTGCCCACGACTTAAATTAGTGATAAAATTGGATATTGGTGCTATCAGATACCCATTAATGGGGGTGGTAGCAGTAGAACGTAGCGTGTTTATATCCCTCCGTAACCAGAGCTGCTCATTGCTCCAGTTTCAACTGCATTATTCCCAGAGAAGCATTGGTGGAAAACGTGTATTGGAGAACCGAATCCCAGGCGCTGTGACTTCGCACCACCACTGTATATCCCCCAGAGTGTTACTTCGAGGGTGCTCTCTTCGTGCGATCCAAGACCGTATATTGAAGCTCACATCAGCGCCATCTGATGACTTTACCATCCTTTTCGCCAGTTGCACGCAGCTGTGTTGTACATGATGTATCGTATGCACAAGGATGCTGCGATTTCTTTTGGTATCCGGATTAACGCTTGCCGGGCACCCGACCCACTCGCCAAAGCCGATGCCTACAGTGACCCTGCTCAATCCCGTTGGAACTCTATCAAAATCGAACAGACTCTGTTCTTCTTTATGGACAGAGAGGTCCCTGCAAACGACAGGCTGAAATCCGAATCGCAGCGTGATCTCCTTCAACGATATCGTCCCCTTGATCAAGTCCTGAATCGGGCGATGAACTGTTGGAGAGGTTCGCAGCACAGGAGCACGGTATAATCCCAATCGCTCGCAATGGAGAGCTAGAAGCGTTGTCGGTGGGAGGTCGATTTTCTGAACTTTGTCCAAGGTTAACATCTTAGAGAATTTCATCTTCTTCAGTACTGGCCAACTCGTCCAGTAAGCTTGGAATTTTGCTACCCTGTAGAATTGTTCCATGCCCTCCTTCAGAATTTGTCTACTTAGTTGGAGCCAAATTGGTAACGCAGGCTTTTGGCGATGAAATTTGCGGGTCACCGACAAACGCCGACTCTTGTAGGCATCTGGGTTGTAGGCGTCCGGGCTGTACCCTATGTTGGCGAGCAAATTGGAATACCGATATTTGAAAACTGTACCGACCCACATCCAATGGTAAATTTCATCTCGAAGCTCTCGGGGTAGTTGAAGGAAAGGGAAGATATCCTTTAACTTTGTGATGGCAGCGGTGTTTTCTTCATAGTAGAGGTCGCGACGAATGTTTCGCTGTCCTCGTCCGACTCGCGAGCTTCGTCGAAGGGATGGAGGTGGAATCTTCTGTCTCTTTTTCGTTCCGTCTGCATCTGGATAAGATTTTCTCTTCCTGGCGGGTTGTATTTTCGAATCTGGGGCGGCTTCTTCGGCTGTCAGGAGCGACATCGTGTCGTGTTCCGGAATTGTGGATCAGATATGTGTCTTGCAACGGTGGGGATGGCGTTCGGAAAGGGTGAAATTTTGGAAAAGAGATTGCGAGGGCAAGTACATAATTTTAGGGACCACGTGTCTCCATGTCTAGTCGTCCATGGAACCATGGGAGTGGTGAAGTGCGGGTGTCGAAATGACGAGAAAAGTCCTTTCAACCTCCTGAAACAACCTGAACTTTCAACATTCTTAACTTCACCTCAAATCTTCTGCCGACTACCTTTTTCGCTACTTGCCTGTAGGAACCATCGACTAAGCCGTTGGGACTCGTTAAGGAGGAAGCAGCTGCGGGGTAAAAGGCCAGGGGGGCAAACAGAAACTGGGGGTGTTTAGAGGCGTGTACTAGGAGTGACATACAGGGCTAAAGAGACAGATATTTATCATCTTCATGCTCAGCTCAGCTCAGTATAATAGAAAGGTTGATGAGGATGGGATAATCGCGGAGCCAGCCCTCATTGGGCTAAATCGTACGCTGAGGGTGAACCTAAAATGGCCATCAAACCCATTTCTTCATTTATGCTATTGAACTCACGAGGCAACAGTAGAAGAGATACATAAGGGATGATATGCTACGAAAGTAGCAGCAATAACACGGTCGAGCACGGCGACGCCCACTTCACACACACCGTTAACTCCCAGCATCTCTACAGTAGCTCTAGTCCATTGTATAATGAATATCACAGCATATAACTCGTACTCTAATTACGTACAGAATATAGGGTCCAACTTCAATGGCCGAAAAATTACGAAACAGTAACCAGGACCACGAGTCAGTGCATCATAGTCATTACAAGAATCGCATCGAAGGTCATAATACATTACCAATTTCCGCATATTTCACGCAGGTACGGGCAAGCCTTCTACAATTTATTCACCACTCCGAATCCAAGGGAGTGTGGAGAGTCGTCGATATTGGTTGACTCGCACTTGAATGTGATCTGGCTGTAGGGGAAAGCAAAGGTTGCGTAAGCGAAGGGCATGTGGCCAGGCCCACGTGGACTTAAAAGTTGAACCCCTGTTCGAGTCCTCCTAGACGGAAATGGGCATGACAATTCATTGCTATCTGTAAAGAATGTGGTAGATCATGGAAACCTCGGTCAGCCTCAATGAGCGACTGGATGCGACAAAATTTAACACGATAATGATGGGGATGGTGTGTAACCAATACTAATAGCGCCTGTGATAGGACCGCGAGCTCACCAATCCATTTCAACATCACTCAACCCCAATACCTTCCCTACCTTGGCAATCTGGTCAAGTTCCTTGCACACTAAAACACCTTAGCTTTTTGATCGTAGTAGTTAAGAGATGGAAGGATAAAATACCTTTCTCGGCTCGGCAAAAGCTCTCACTCTTCCCTCCATCCTGTTTCCCAGGGAATATTTCCATTCCAGCAAGCCTCTCCAGCTTCAGATGCGCTTTCAAAAGCGGTAAAAGAGATGGCTCCTGGAAAGGGCGGATGATCTTCACTGCTTCATAGCTTTGCTCAAGATCATTGATATGGGAAGTGAAAAGGGACTTCAAAGCCTCTTGGTCGACCGGGTCAAGAATTACAGCCTTAGTAGAGAAAACATCACACATTACAGTGCATCGACCGGCGGAGGCCGGGAGCCTGGTGAGCGTCGCCCAAATGGGGGAGTTCAGGATGGATATGACAGTCGTCGTTGGGGCGATCTGAAGGACCTGGCTCTCGCTAAGGTCCAAGTGACGATGGCGGAACATGGAGAACACATACTCCATTAACCAGCTCTTAGGACGAGCCGGGCTAGGCGTCCCAATTCCGGTGCGGTCGCTAGCCCCTGCGCGTAATATTAGCTTCAGGATTCTAACCGACACGACTGGAGGGAGACTCACCGATTGTCTTCCAATTAAATGCTCCACTCAATTCCCAGCCTGTAAGCCAAGCGCTTCCGGCTGAGATTCCGTGCTCATCTAAAAAATCGACTGTGTTCTCGCAGTCCGGTGAGTCCAAAAGCTGGCCTGCATCGAGGTTGATATGGATGAAGCCACCTCGATCTGTGCAGGTGTGTATCTTGAAGAGACCATTTTCGGATTTGTCGAATCCCTCGACATCGTCAAACTGAGGAGCTTTGACAAGGTCTCCCTTAGTATCATATGACCACCCATGATACCGACAGCCTAAGACTAGAGAAGATCCGGCCGGCTTCTTAGTAACAGTATAGGCTCGATGTCTGCAAACGTTATGGAATGCTCTAGCAATGTGATCTTTCCCGAGGATGATCAGGACTGGAAATCCAGCTAGTTCCAGGGAGATGTAGTCGCCTGGTTTGAGGAAACGACTTCGGTGAGCGATGCAAGTCCATGTCTATCGCGATAAGGTGTCTAGCTTGCAAGGTAGGTGACGATGGCCCATACCTTGCTAAAGACGGCTCGACGCTCCAGCGCGAAGAGGTATTCAGATGTCCACCAGCCATCTAGGAGATCTGGCTCCTTGGTGACTTCGATTTGGGGGTTGTTATAGAAGGAAAGAATTGGAGTTTCGGCGAATGGGGCCATGGTGATTGGTGTGGCTTGGCGCTATGTGTTTAGCTTCGTGATAGAGCGACGTGCTCGTTGTGACAAAAAAAGCGGCTATGCCAATAGACAAATAAAGAATAACGATCACTACTAGAATCGTTAGAATGTGAACGACTTCCTATTGAGGCAAACCGTGGAAAAGATAGCGAACACACTCTGGTTGGTTGAGGCTGGTGTTCTGGACCGTTAGTGTTGCCCATTCCCGGATATCTGGCTTGTCCCAAGAAATGACTGATGCAACGAAATCTCGGTGTGACGATCCAACTTCAAAACCCCTGCCATCGTCACGCGATGCGAGCAATGGATGGGTAAATATCAACCGAAAATAGGGAAGGGAACGGTAGAGTGGAGAAAGAGACTTAGCCTTTTCGGGGCAACTTGTCCCGTCCGGGCATGTGATTGGTTGGTCATGAGGAGCTTCATGCAGAGCAAGGTGAAAGGAAGATAAAGAACACCGACAAGTGAACGACTAGAAAGCTTCAAAATCCTCAGGTACCACCTGACAGTAGATAGACTTCCCCATCCGTCCTCATCGACATTACCTGCACGGAAGAAGGCGCTATGGCTTCATGGCCATGCTTACGATGATGCAGGATCGACTAGCTGCGATGCAACCACGTCGTTGCGGCTGCTGTATCCGTAGGCATTTCGGGGTTCTGGTTCCTTTTCCGTCTCATGTTGGGCGCAGACCAGCTCTAGAACGCGTTGTTGATAGTCTGGACGGGAGATTAGAATGGAACAATGCAGTGCCAGGAGAGGACGTACAAGCGACCCCCGTCTCTTTCTCTGGGTTCAAGATTCCCTCAGAGTAGACGCCCTTCTCCAAGTTCTCTTGGGCCTTCTCACAAAGCTCGAAATCCTCCATGGCTACTTGGCGGACGAATTTGAAATATTCCTCAAATTTCTCGCCCGAGGACTGGTGATAGTAATCGAACTCCATTCGGGTAATCCCAGGTTTATCAGTTGGGCAGACGCGGAATGAAGACATCCCGCCACCATACACATTCAGGGTACAGTTCGGGAAGAAATAGAGAAAGAGGCCATCGTCGGCCTTCTTCGGATCTGCAACATGCTGGGAGAAGTTCTTGTGGTTATAGACCGTATAGAATGTTGGGGGGTAGTAGACTGAGAATGAAGGATGCGTGTATTGGCAATGCAGGCATTCTTGATATCCATCAACCCTGATCCGTTAGTGAAAGCGTTTGCGATGAGAGTGGCATGTCTACTCACATGGTCTTCCAGTTGAATTTACCTTCGTACTTTACACTACGACGGTATGGAAGCTTTGTGAAATCAACCCTGCCAATAAGAGGCTTGAGATCCGGAAAGAAGTCATCGAAAGAGGGGGCATTATCCGAGATAGTCGAAAATACAAGACCAGTCTCAGTGATGTAAGACTTGAACTCAGAGCCCTATAACTACTTAACACTTGAAACGCGATCGGCCAAGCATACATACCGTATTCTCATCAAAGACTTTAATGTCTCTCAGTTCTTCAGACATTCGACATGCAACCAACGAAACTTGGGCAACCTCATAGCCCACCTTCTCACCCAGTTGGAATTTGGTCACAGGCCCGAGGAGATACCATCCCTGCGTCGAGATTAGTCTCCTAACCGGGTTTGAAAGTTTGGGTACTGTAATCATACCTTCAAGAAGACAGCCTTTCGCTCCAGCTGATATAAAGGCGAGCTGCAGTACCAAGATGCAGGAAGAGTTCGTGGTAAAGAAGCCATCTTTTCGGAATCCGCTAGGTCTGCGTTGCGTGGCACTTTGATCTCGAGGGGAAGAGTAAGGAGAGCAAGCAATTATCTATGAGAGCAGTATGGCAGTTGCGAAGGTTTCATTTGCAGCCTCCAGGAAAGGCAAAAAGGCCCACCCCTTGTCGGTTTTAGAGGTACCTGCATGCTGAACGTCATGGGACGTGGGGCTCGGTATTGGACGGTACCAATCGGATTTCCATGACGAAATGGCTTATCGAAAGCGGCCAGGAGCTTCATGATTCCCATCGCCGTTCCCACCAGAACTCGAACTAGGGTCGTTGGTCAACTGGACAGCAGACGGAGATTCGGCCGCGAATAGTCGGCACAGCTTGAGAATAAATCAAGGTTGCACAACTCATAGGTAGGTATTGGTTAGGGATCGCGCTCTCGATAGTGAAGAGGTCTGATTTCGTTCGGGCTCACAACAAGTGTGTCCCTTTCTGCATATTTGCAAACACCCAAACTGGTGTCTGGAGCCAGGCAAGAAGAGTTAGCGTCCGAAACGTCGAGACAAACTCCCCTCTTGGCTGCTTATTCATCAGCGCTAACGAAACCTGGATTCCTGGCTTGGCATCTCAAGGGATTCATGCAATTCCCGCAAGATCCCCCATTCAATCTGCATTTCCCTTATATTCTACGACGAATCCATATAGGCGCGCTGCATTATCCTTTCGTCAATGTTTGCACTCGACTAGAGCCATTTTCTTCACCAGAAAGCTTTTAATTTCCGACTATTCTCTTTCGCCATCTCTTCTCAATACCCTTAGCCCTAACGTGTACTACTATATAGAGTAGCACTACCTGTTAAAGTTACTAGCTAGGGTCTACTCGACGACGACTTGGGTTTGGCCTGACCCGGAATGGCTTGTTGAGGAAATATTCCTAGACGAATTTTAGAGCTTGAGGTGAATAGGTACTATCTATGTCTAAACCAAGAGGCTCTTTACGATCTCTTTCACTAAAGCCTTGATTTAAGCCCGCCAATACAGCAATAAAGCTAACGGAATATCTACTTCGAATACCCGCACAACAAAGTCCGAAACTACGCAGCAAGCATTGAGTCTATCGCAATTGCGAAAGTTCCGTAACTACCGGAAACAAACTTGTCCGCCAGCAGAACTCAAGAGTCCTTCAATTCCTTCCTTTACAACCCCCCCACTGCTTCAAAGAGCGTCTTTTCACTCTCCGTGCTGGTTGTCGAGATATCAAGAGACGACTTAGTACATCCCAAGGCTCTCTGGCCATTCCAATTTGCCAAACTGTGAGCTGTCCTCACACCCTTTGTCCAGTCCCATAAGAGTTAACCATTTATAGTTCAGGCCTCGCCGTCGTGGTAACCACAAGCCCGCATCACTTTTACTTTGCGAAATCCCGAGGAGCAGACGCAGTGTTCAACTAGTACGACCCCCAGTGCCGCGAAAAAGATCCGAGAGTACACTAGTAGACAGCTCCGCCACGTTTTCGACGCTATTAAAAGCCTTCACGCAGCAGAATTTTGTGCCAAGGCACTAGCTCCATGTGCTAAAGAATGTGAGACTTGCATTATACAAGTTCCCTTCCTCTACAGGCCTTCCCACGGGATGATTTCGTCAAAAGCGAATCCCTTGCGTACACCGCTACGGGTGACGTTTTCGGGAATTCGAGATGAATTTCCCTACAATGCCTTAGCAAAGTACGAGTCCGCCAGCGCGATTTAGAAGCCCAGTTCCGAGCTCTTGGGTGAGGAGAAGTTGATATTACATCTAGTAGAGACCCTTCCCGTAGAGTTGAGTGGCATCGCGAACGAGTAAGTCTGCTGCTAGTTCACATTTTGCTAAATATTTTAGCAGAATGTACTGATGAGGAATTGACAGGCTTCAGAGACTTCGCGAGAAAAAGGTTAGTGGACGAGAGCTGGCCTGTAAGGCTGATAGGGCTACTAGACTTTAAATAAAAGTTGAGCTATAGGTAGGCGTGGGAAATCGTACAGCTTTAGATTACTTTCACGAGAAAATGTCGGTTTACTAATATCTACTCGTCTGACCATTTCTATATGAGGCCGATCATAACGATCATAAATTTAAACTTTTTGATGCCTCCATTTATGATTGACGTTTGAGAAATATTTATTTTGATCTTCTTTGTCAGTGCATCCTTTACTTATTCCTTCCACTTCTTACACATTCTAGTTTTTGGGCTGATACTTGTCTGCACTAGTCTCAGGCTAAACTGCAGTCCAAATTGCATCCAGGAACCAGGATTAAATCCGAAAATGATTTGGCAAAGTCCATGCGCGCCCTTCGGATCGCATCATGATGCCAAAGGAGACTCGGATAGAACGTTCCGACAAGAGCACCAGAAGGCCCCAACATTTAGGCATCGTCATTAAAGTCCAACAACGCACCCCGGAGCGTCATCTTAAGTGCTTCTAGAAGACCGTATAAAAGCCACGAGTTATTGCGATCCTGGAAAACCGTTGTCTCAAGAAACCCGGCGCTATGCGACAGACATTTGCGCTCCTCGCATCCCTTGCAGCAATGGCGCTGTGTGGGGCAAACTCACACAGGCACTACAGCCGAGGAATCAACACCAATCGCAGTGAGCCTGTTTAGACAACCTCCGAACCAGGGCTTCTATCTAACACGTACCAGCTACGAATCTTGACTGGGATGCAGCGCGCTCAAAAGCTATCGCTTTCGTTGCGCAGTTGAATAATTTGGAGAAGGTGAACTTGGTCACTGGCGGCTTCGATGTTGGACCCTGCATTGGAAACATTGGTCCAGTCGAGCGGCTTTCTTTCAAGGGATATTGCATGTCCGATGGACCAGCGGGTGTGAACCGCGCGGATTTGGTTAGCATTTTCCCCTCGGGCATCACTGCGGCTGCAACATGGGACCGACAGTTGATGTACGATCGTGGCTTTGCGATTGGGGAAGAGTTCAAGGAGAAGGGTATCCACGTTATGCTAGGGTAATATTAGTATCTCTCTCCCGCCCAATTTCACTAATATTCCTGTAGACCATCGACTGGTCCTATGGGACGACATCCGCTTGGGGGACGCAACTGGGAGGGGTTTGGGCCCGATCCATACCTCTCGGGAGTATCCATAGCAGCGACTGTCCATGGAGCACAAGAAAATGGTGTGCAAACTTGCTCCAAGCACTTCATCGCCAATGAGCAGGAGACGCAGAGAAGTCAAACTGTTTCCGATAGAGACGTGACAGAAGCCATTTCTTCGAACGTCGACGACAGGACCTTGCATGAGTTGTATCTTTGGCCATTCGCAGAAGCAATCAAGGCTGGAACGGCGTCAATTATGTGCTCGCGCGTAATCCTCCTCTTATGTTGATGTAGAGCCTACTAATAGTAAACATATAGATATAACCGTATAAACTCTACATACGCGTGTGAGAATCCCGAGCTTTTAGAACAACTTTTGCGGAAAGAGCTTGGATTCCGCGGCTACGTTGTTTCGGACTGGTTTGCTACACATTCGACAGTTGGGTCGGCGAATGCGGGTTTGGATGTGGAAATGCCGGGCCGTATGATCAAAATCGGGAATCTGCTTCCAGCAAATGCCCCAATTTATTTCGGGGAGAATCTCCTCCAGGCTGTGGCGGGTGGCAACGTCTCCATGGAGAGGCTCGATGAGATGGTTATACGAGTACTTTCCCCGTACTTCGTCCTCGGACAGGACAAGAACTACCCCTCCATCGACCCGTCGGCTTTCGCAGTTCTGGCAGCCCATGAATTCGGCTTTCCCACGATTGAAGCGCTCAACTATTCATTGAACGATGTTTGGGGACGGGATGTTCGAGGGAATCATGCGGGCCTGATCCGTAAGATTGGAGCTGCAGGGACCGTCCTCCTTAAGAATGTGAACGACACCCTTCCGCTGAAGGCCCTAAAGAATATTGCAGTGTTCGGCAACGATGCTGCTGACATTCTCGACGGACAATCTAACCCCCCTACTGGGTACGATGTTGGTACTGTATATATCGGTGGTGGCTCGGGTCGAATCAGGCCGGAAGATCCAGTCTCCCCTTTGGCCGCTATTAAGGAACGTGCCAAAAAGGATGGAGCCCGTGTCAAAGCAATCACAAATAATACGCTCATAGCTAATGGGATTTTTACGACCATATACCCGCTCCCGGATGTCTGCCTCGTGTTTTTGAAAACATATGCGGCCGAGAGCCAGGACCGGAACTCTTTCGAATTAGACCATCACTCCTCTACCGTCGTCTCAAACACCGCATCTTGGTGTAGAAACACGGTTGTAATTACACACTCGAGTGGCGTAAATATAATGCCATGGGCGTATCATCCCAACGTCACAGCCATCCTCGCAGCGCACTATCCCGGGGAGCAAAGCGGTAATGCCATTGCCGATGTCCTCTGGGGCGACCGAGCACCTTCCGGGCATCTTCCCTATACAATTCCTGTGACAGAGGCTGACTATGGTCTCCCCATCGTCAATCTCACAAATGTGGCTGATCCCAAAGGCTGGCAATCCGACTTCACTGAAGGACAGTTGATCGACTACCGTCGCTTCGATGCTCGCAATATTACCCCATTATATGAGTTTGGGTTCGGACTCACGTATACCACATTCGGCATGGGGGCCAAACTTACGGTTCGTGCGTTAATGGACAACCCGCGGGCTGTCCCTGATCCGCCTCAATCCATATCGGTAGGGGGACACCCGGAGCTGTGGGAGAATCTAGTTGAAATTGAGACCAGCGTAACCAACACAGGCTCTCGGGCGGGTGAGGCGGTCGCACAACTCTATTTGTCCTTTCCGAAAAGCGGTGTTCCTGAAGGCACGCCTGTCAAAGTTCTGCGGGGATTCGAGAAGATTAGTATTAAGCCTGGAGAGACGAAGAAAGTGACTTTCAAGCTCAAGCGCCGGGATTTGAGCTTTTGGGATGTCGTGAAGAGCACTTGGGCTCTTCCAGTCGGCGACTTCACCGTCAAGGCAGGCTTCAGCTCCCGGGATTTAAGAGCAGAGGCCAGGTTTGCTCTAAACGGGTCTACAGACATATGACACGAGGCATTTCAGCAGATTATCGGATAGCAAAGAAACATAGACGGCGAGGGGAGGATTTAATAGGCAGGAGACGGATGATAACAAGGAAAGTAACAACATGAAAGAAAAAGCGCCTGGCCACACAGTATCCAGGGATTTTATTTACGGCTCCTTGTAAGTGCTTACATAGCATTCATAAAACTTACTCAAACTCTTCGACAGTGCCATCTACGTGAATGAATCGCTTCCTCAGCACCTTCCCCGTAACATCCACATCGATATGCGTTCCCTTCAATGACAACTCCCTCCTCCCTCGTGACTCGCTCCCACTATTAATTCCACTCCTTTTTCTCGGAGCAGCAGGATACTCGGTACAGTAGCTGGGCGGTGGGTAGTCATAGCACGGATTTGGGGGGCTCGGTGGGTCGATATGCTGATACTGCATCCAAATAAACGTCTTGTCCGGCTCCACCAAATCATACCACTCGCCGCCATTGAATTCGGGAGACCCTGCATCTACACATCGATCGATTATATGCGCAGTTCGGTTGAAACAATCCGCTCGGTCTTTGATGGTGCTAGAGATTGTCATCGTGAGGTCGATACCGAGGGGTGCGTTGTCGGCTGTGCAGTTGTCTTGTAGACGGAGCACGACGCCGTGGCCGGAGAGGAATGGAAAGCCTTCGCCCCAGTTCGCAGTGTTAGAGCAAAGTGTGTTGCGCATTGTTTGGAGGTCCGGGAGGGCACAAGCTGATTTGAAGGGACGGCGCGCGCGGTAGCATGCTTCTTGGGCAAGTGATGGATGGTAGAGGAGGGAGGTGATCACTGTTAGAGCGATTGGGAGGAACATGGTGGTCGTAGAGTTTATAGACTGAGTTGACACCGAGCTGTGAGTGATACTCAAGAGAGTCGGCAACGAAAAGAATGTCTAACCATTCATCTCGTGGGCTCTCGTGGACTTTATAGAATGATGGGAGCAATATGTTTCCGTCTTCAAGTCATCAACTCCTCCCCATTGCGTTTTCTGCCTCCGTATTTGGAATTTTGTTCCGTAAACCTAGAAGTTTAAGATATAATCAATCATATTCCTCTTTGGGACTTGACAGCTAGGATAGTAAGCGAGCACTTAATGGCTAATACTGACGCGCATGCCAAGATGGACAATTTTAACCTAGTGCTACACTTTTGGGCTTCATGCAATTAAATTAAATGAAAATGAATGGAGAACCCGGTAATTGTTATTAGGGTGTCCAATCGACCGGATTGGACAACGTCTGACAACGTGTGAGGCAGTGAGTGCATCTCACCACCTAAAATTCGTAATAGCGCACCTTCCTAGAATTGCAAAATTTAAAATAGGATACAGCTGTAAGTGTTCAAAGATTTCCTATAGAAAGGCCTGTCGTAGAGCGCACAGCGGGTCGGTGTGATGAGTCGGTCGGAGTAGACACCCTGCTTATTATTTGGAATTCAAAGAAGTTTCAGTCTCCCCGCTCTATCGCTGCAGCTGTTAGCGACAATCAGATTCTAAACAGGAAGGCTTTTTCGTGTGTCGAAATAGTGCCTGGCTGAATGAGTGAAAACTTACGATGGGATTTCAGGCTAATGCTCTAACCAATGTAATATTCAAATCTACAGATTAACGGTGGACAACATAAAGAATTGAACTGAAAGTGGAGTCCAGTCGTTGACTTTTTAAAAGTCATGAACCAGTCCAAAGATTACATTCAGCGTGTTTCTATTACGTGGCCGCACAAGTATGTTGCAAAGCGTTAAGGAACTATACAACTATACATAACCTAGTTAGAATGTTCTGCTACCGAGACCTCCTACTTTGGCCCTCTCAAAATGAATTGTGTTGCGCCCCGAAGAGAGGCAGTTTAACAGGATGGTTTGTGAAATAGTATTGGCCTAATATGCCTCCACTAGGTTAACATATTACTCCCCACATCGCCTTCAATGCTGCATCTTCATCATGACATCATGACATTGACAAGCGCTACCAACAGCCAAGCTGATATCACGGCAGCGTCACCGCCGACTTGTACCGCCAGAGCCCAATTCCAATCAGCACCAGTGTCATGGCCAATGAACACTCATGGCGACTAATATTACTTTTAACGAATATCCAGGGACTATGATTCAGTTTGAGCTTAAGTCCATACCCAGAGAGACTCCAGTTAGCCGCCTCAGTTAGTCGAAATTTTTAAGCGGACGAGGAAAAGAGCTTGAGATATGATCCAATGCATAAACTCGATTGTAGCTAACAGCTGTATGGGATAGTGAGCCGGAAGCTGTAGCAAATACATGCTTGGCTGAATGCCGACAGGGCCGCTTACTCGTAGCAGTTGTCAAGTGATGACGAAACCTATCCATTTGTGCATAGAGACCTGCCAGTATAGTAAAGATTGTAGAATTGAATGCGTCGAGGTGATGAATTGGGGGCTGTTACAAGCATGATAATCCCAGTCAAGTGGGAGTGAATTAAGGCTTCTCGGGCCAGCGTCGTTAATACATAAGAGAAAAGAAGAAGGCATGTACATACCAGGATGCCGGGAGGCCTGCCTTAATGTGAGTTTTGAAGACAATAGCCCCAGAAGGAGAATGAAACATACTATCGCACGGTTAGAGCTGATTGATGGTGGAGGGAATGGAGCAGTCAATTAGGTGGTGAGAGGCGACATGGGCAGATTGAGCTGAGGTGTAAGGTCTGTAGAGCGAGAGAGAGCTCAGAGGTAAATATATAGTACCTAAAAGAGCGCTAGTCCTAAACAGGAAAAGAGTGAGAGGAGAAGGACCTACATTTACCCTGCGCAGGGTCACGTGAACCAGTTTCACGTACAACACATACATCATGATGTTACATCTCGGTCTACTGGAGCCGTATACTTCCAGTGTCACTTTCTTTCTTTCAATCTGAGGACAGCAGGAGTTGCGGGCTCCAGCGTAGTTTTCAATTTAATATGTGTCACTAATCAATGTTGGCGCGTAACTATTGGCAATTATTAGTCGATCTGTAATATTTGCACAGATGTTCTTAGCACCCCTTAAAAAACTTTGATTTCAACATTACACAAATAACTATTAGTTAAATATACTGGCCTCTAAAGCTAATTCATAACTAACATTAGACTCCCTTAGTACAGGGGAGTTGTCAAACTGTATGTAAAAGAAGACTTCTGCTCTATTGGAACATACGCAGCTACTGTACAAAGAAGAGGATACACACTACAAGAAAACAAGGCTTCTGTACTGTAACCATTGCACAGAGACACAACCCCTACTTGTGGCAAGCAAAAATACTTTCTACAATCTTCATTTAAAAAATAAATCTACTATTAAAATTTCGCTTATGGAAAACCCCTCTGGCGGCTCCTTATTGACCAGATGCAAAGGGTGCAGCTATGCTACCATGCCTCCTCCACTTGGTCATCTGCTTTTTTTAAAAAATCCAAAAACGATGCAATGATATCTTTGATGGCGCTTAACGACGCTTTGTAGGATGGCGGAATTGTCAATACCATATAAAGGAGTTTTATCACATTTCACATGAGAAAGACGATGAATGGCAAAAGAAACGGCACTTGGTATGGCACTGCATTACACAGTTTATGACAACGAGTAGAGCAGGGCTGAGAACTTTGATGACAAGATGAAGTGCCGAGTCTATTGTCGAGGTTCTCAGGCATTTTCCCAGATATATAGCGAAGATTACATCCACTGAGGACGCTGTACTAATACCGATTATTCCCCAGGTTAAACCCTAGAGCAAGACCAATTATACTAGGGGAGTAGCCCCAAAAAGGGTTGTGCGCTAGGATGGTCTCCGGTCTTCTCCATTTTTTTGTTGACACAATCTTTCACATGATGCGATGGTGGGTGAGGCTGGCTTGTATTCCCACACTAGGAAAGGCGGTTTCGATGAACTAAGGCTTGGTAACTGGAGATTGCAGTTACTAAAGATCGTTAGAGTAGCTAGAGCTTCTAGGCATGTCATTGTATTGTTTTCCAAAACTAATTGCCTTTCGACGGCCAGCGGCCTATCTAATCTAACTTCAACCCATGTCTAGAATCCATCAGCGATGTGTCTAATGTTATTGCCAGCCCACCCTTCGGTGGACATACAGCTATCTGGGAAAGAAAACAACCCGAAGCAGACTTTATTTTATGAGACTAGAATCTATTCTCTTGGAATTAATTGTAGCTGGAAGGAATTGTGATACATTAGTTCTAGTATAAATTACTCGTTATGTTCCATACTGTCGCACGTGACCCACACAGGGTGAATGTGGGCCTTCACCTCTCACCCTTTTCCTGTGTAGGACTAGCGCTCTTTTAGCTACTATATATTTACCTCTAAGCCCTCTCGAGCTCTAGAGACCTTACACCTCAGCTCAATCTACCTAGGTCGCCTCTCACCACCTAATTGACTGCTCCATTCCCTCCACCATTAATCAGCTCTAACCTTGTAATACGTACGTGTTCGGCGACATGCATATGCGCTCGGCCTCTTCTAGCCCTGGAAATGGGTCAATGGAAGAAGTACAGAAGGGAAGGGCAAGTAGCAGACTCGATGTCGAATGGCTATGTTGCTTCATGGTATGTCTCGCACTTTTTGAAAGATTGAATTCAGCAACGTAATAGTCTGGCTCATGATCTCGAGTGAAGCTGACGAGATTCAAAGACAATTTAGCTCCGAATACTAGGAATTCGCGGGGATTTTGAAGACTTGGAAATTGTGCATAACCCTGTCGGTGTTGTTGGGGGTGTCCGATCCAGCAGTTAAATCAGGATCCTAGTGCTTGTTTGTTAACCGCGACCGCGAGGGCTGATGGATTATTGTAAAAAGCCGGTCACAGTCAAGAATTTCAGGAGAACAATGGCTAAAAGCTGCAGTAGTGCTAAAACAAGAGATATTCTTATGCAACCTAGCAATCTTCTGCGTAAACAGCATTGTTTCTTTCTTTTTGTCTTGACTTTTTGTAATATCTTCTTAAGATTCTAAATGGCTATGTTCTAGTTTTGAAGTTTGTTATTCGTCCTTTTTAGTTGTGCACACCAAGGGCTTGGTAGTGCAAGACCTATGCACAACTTCTTGATATTAGTTGAAATTCTGGCTGCAACTGGAGTTTGCAAGGCACAGCAGAAAAGACTCTCAGGCCACTGAAACTCCCCTCAATCGACAAGCGCACTTCCGCCATATAGTCCCCACAGCCGTCGATCACACAGGCAAATGACCAGGCTGTTCCCGCTATTCATACTTCGCTTCTTACCTTAAAGATAGAAATCGCATTGCATACCGCCCACTGATATCGCACGGTCAGCGCTTAATAGACGATATAGGGCATATAGAGATGAGATGCGAGCGGTCAATTAGGAGCCAAACTAGGTTGATTGCACTATAATATAAGGTAAAATAGACCTAGTCCTAAAGAGAGAGACGCTAGTCCTGAACAGGTTACTATCCAAGGATGTACGTTCACTCACTCAAGATCACGTGATATATGGTCACGTGCGAAAACTGAGAGACACCGGCTAGTCTGCAGGTCTTGGCGGTGTCCTCTAACTTTCCGTTCGGAACACCAATATCTCGGGAGTTGCTTGATCCTCCCAAGCTTGAACCTAGTTCAACAACTTTCTCGTAGTCTTTACTGGTTCAGACAGGAGAGTTTTTACCTTGCAGTAGGATCGCGGTTATCTCCCTTTTGCTCCAAAGTTACGGCACTATCTACGTTTTCCACGGTTATTAACGTCCGAGATATTAGATTTCATCTTCAATTCCATCTCATATGAGAACATGTGCCTTTTCTGGTCGCTCTATGAACTGTTGCACTTGTTGCGCTAGTTTGAGCACGTTTCTTGCCAGGAGCAACCTGTTGCCGTTCCCCACATTGGCCCTTACCCGGTCGCACCGCCTCGACCCTTGTAGAATCAGGCCCTAGGGGCGGACAGACGTGCCAAATGCCACACAAGTGCCACACCAGCGATACTGCCATGGCCGCAGACCACTATGCGAGTCTCTCTTCAATTGGATGAAGGCAAGGGGCCACAAACTTGATGAGCCCCCATTAATCCAGGAACGGAGGAGCGGCTTGGCAGGCCTATTGGCTGCGTGACCATCAAAACGTGCTCAATCTTTGCATCCTGCATTTAAAGGTGGATTAGAACCGATTCTTGCCTACGTCGCATTTTAATGCTCTCCATGGGCTCACTTATACCAAAACATCATGGCCGTCTTCAACGAGGTAGACACCCGCCTTCTGGCTCGCCAGCATATTCAAAATCACGACGGTGCGAAGAGTGTCAAGTATTACTGGGGATATCCGAGCCGAGTTGTACCATGTGCGAACGATCCTGGATCATGTGAATACCTCGATGGAGTGTACTGGATGCACACCGTGTCGATGCTCTACACATTCATACTTTGGGCGGTTATTGGTGGAATACTTCTTCTCGTCGTCCTTGTGAGGCTATTTCGACCCCATCGGAGGACCTCTGGAGCAGGAAATGATGGAAGGAACAAGCAAAGTTTCTTCTATCGAATTTGGAGATCTTTGGCTTCTGGAACCCGGCGATATCTCCTCCCTGAGGCCCTACCAGGCTTCTTTCCCAACACAACGAGACTACAAATTCTGATATTAGCAATACTCTGCGTTTATCTCACGATATTCTCGTAACTAATTTCCTCGAAGCAAGATTGCAAGTACATGCTAACTACATCCAGGTTCGTGGGCATTGTCTACAAGACATGGGTTACTCCTGTCAAAAATAGCACCAAGTTCAACACCAGAACCGGACTTGGGGGCTTCAGTGACCGTGTTGGCGCCATGGCGTACGCACTCACGCCTCTCACAATTGCCCTATCCACTCGAGACTCCATTCTCAGTCTTTTGACTGGAGTACCGTATCAGCACTTTAATTTCTTGCATCGGTGGATTGGACGTATCATTCTTATCCAGTCTTTCATTCACACCATTGGCTGGACTATCATAGAAGGGAGGCTCTATCAACCGCAACCAAAGGTCTACAACAACTTTATTAAACAAACATATATGGTGTGGGGTATTGTGGCGCAGGGCTTCATCACCTTCCTCTGGCTTTTCAGCACGAGAAGAGTGATTCGATGGACTGGGTACGAATTCTTTCGAAAATCCCATTTCGTGGTCGCTGGGCTATATTTAGGGGCCTGCTGGGGTCATTGGTCCCGACTGGCGTGCTGGATGATCGCCTCTCTTGGACTTCTTGGCATCGACTTAGGGCTTCGGATTTTACGAATGTGTCTGATACATCTTGGATACAAGGATGGTAACAGTGGCCTAGGATTCCGCACTGTCCAATCCAGGGTCGACGTATTCAAGGACCCCAGTGGAACTATTCTCCGCCTTTCTTTTACGCATAATCATGAGCCTTGGAAGCTTGGCCAACACTACTATCTCACATTTCCATCTCTGAGTATCTGGCAGTCTCATCCGTTTACGCCTGCATCGGTACCTCCAACCGCTCTCGTGCCACCAACACATACCTACATCATCAGAGCGCGTAGCGGCGAAACGGGAAAGCTTGCTGCGTTAGCTGAAGCCAGCTGCAGGGAGGACGAAAATTCCTTCCAGACGCCTGTTATCCTAGTTGGTCCATATGGATGCTCAGTTGTCGACAATGAAGTCTCGAATATTCTTGCCATTGCTGGTGGAACCGGCATCTCATTCACGCTTCCCATTATTAGGGCCGTACTCGCGGACCCATCTTCCCATGCTCAGAATATTGAAATGGTCTGGGTGGTTCGGCACGTTGAGAATCTCACTTGGATTGCGTCGGAGCTCTTAACTCTGAAATCCCAGCTTGGACTACCGCCATCTACCACTCAGGATTCGGATGGTGACATCAAAGAGATAAGAAATGTTTCTCACCATGTAGTACACTCTACGAAACACTTCCGGATCCGGATCTTCGTTACGCGCTCTTCAAAAACTGCAACGCCGCCAGCCCAAGAAAAAGATATGGATATCTCGTCAACATCATCCGTAGCCTCGGCAACTGGCCATTATCACGAACCCCGAGAATTGCTAAAACCGCACCCCATGTTCAGCATCTCGTATCTTAACCATGAGCGCCCTTCGATATCTTCAGTTATTCATAAATTCATCGACCAAACTGTCTCAGAGGGCCGGACACAAGTCGTGGCTTCCGGACCCCCAGACCTTGGAACCGATGTTCGCGCTGCGGTTGCAGCGAGGAACTCGGTAGGGGGAGTCTGGAGGGGAGATGAAAGAGCTGATGTTGAGTGTGTGTGGGATGATCGGATGGGTTAAATAGCTCGAGACCTTACTATACCCATTTTCTAAATACTTTCAACAGCTAAGCGACTTTGATGGAGCGATTGTGTCAGATCACCCTATGAACTGTGACTTTAAGTAAGAAGCGCTGGATTAATTTTCCCTGAATTCGAGCCCGCTATCGCACATCACGTCGTACGAGTGAAATACTCACTCTTTAAGGCTAGTTCCTATTTCGTACACCCCATAGTCACCTCTGAGCTCTTTCGGGATCGTCAGACCTTACACTCTCTTCAAGGGATATGCACGCAAATGATCCGCCGTAAACAACTGTTTGAAAATTCATCTAAGACTGCCGTCGAAGGATTTCTTGACGAAATTTGGATCCTGAAGCCGGAACCACTGCCATATTGTTAAGTTCGTCGGTACCTACACCGATAAGTCATATTTCGGCCTGTTGGGGGTTTCATAAGGAGATATTAATATTGCAACTTAAACATGGTCTGGCAGAAATTCAAAAGCCATGTTGTATATATTCAACCAGACATACCGTCCATCCTTACTATTTGTTACCCCTTTATAACCATAGGCCCAATCTCGGGCGGGAACGACAAAACGTCGGGGCTATAAGTAGTTTCCCAGGTAGCATAAGTGCATGGGAAACCGCTCAGTGTCTAAAAGGGGACGCGTGACGTGAACTAAGATATTGCAGAGCATATCAAGGCCATTGGGATAGCCGTAGAAGTCTCCGGGGAGTGGATTCGTTCGTGCTTACGATTGATCCAATCTATCCCGTCAGTTTGTGCAAGGGTTGAAGAGCCGCATATATCAGTAAACCGCATACGTCCCATAACTACAGTGATGCCATTGCAGGTTCTAACATGGTATGGTAGATGTGGCTGGCAATTACTATAGTAAATGGATTGCAACATCTGGCTGATGCCGCAAACTGGAATTATGGGTTTTAAGGGCGCTAAATATCACCTAGAGCCTGAATAGTGACCATAAATCTCCGGGGAAAGACCCTCGGATTAAAGTAACTTCGATTAAGAGAATACATGTGGAACGGAATTTCGATTGCCCATCCAGGTTGGACGGCCCTCGACCAGAACTCTGGAAATATCGTTTCCGGGCCGTAGACATCTGAAAAGTGAGTACTCGAGATCTGTCCTCGTTTCGGTGGTTGAGCGGACCTTTCCGACACAGTATTTAGTACCGCTCGAGCTGGATGAGCCGCGCGATCCTTGGGTAAATGAAGCCATTGCTTGGAGCCTGTCGTGTTCCTTCGATGCAAACTTCACTCGAGTGGTTGAGTGTATTCCTGATCGCCGTCGTCGAATTCTCGAGAAATTTTGGACAATACTAAAGACTGCTAATAACAGTTCATGAGAAAAAAAACCCACTGGACAGTCACTTACCAGACATTCTGAGAGCTGGGCTTTTAGTCAAGTGAAGAATCATCAACCCAAGGGTCGTATCCAGCAACCGATGCTCTCTCAGCACACTTCGACAGAACAACAACTTATCCTTACTGCCTAGCATCCACTTAATCAGAGCCTCAATCCCGAAGCTTCCTGAGACTGTTGCGGAAACCCTCCTGTAGGATATTTTACCCTTCTGGATATTTACCATTGGCTCAGGAACACGTTCATGAATTCCCACGATATCCTAGAGAATATTTTCCTTGTACGCTGAAGTATCATGTTCGCCTTGTTATATTTTGAATTGGGTTATTTGTAGGAACTTAGAGAAGGAATCGATTTTATTAGCATAAGTGCGCAACTCCTCCCGCATAGCCAATACCATTAGCGATTTCGAAGAGGCCTTTGGCGACTTTAAACCCAGTGACTTTAACTGCTAGAATACCTGAGGTTACGCTGATCGAATCTATTATTGAAACTGAGGCTGAGATATGTTTATTGACATGCTACGAGGCTGTGGGTAGAAATTACGTTGACAGGCTATTGCGCCTTATCGTCAATGAACATGAAAGTAATGCTGAGTATTTCTTACTGTAGGGTGAGAGGAACTATGGTGACAGACTACTGTTTCTTCACTTTTCAGCTATCTATAGAGGGTCTCAGAGCATCAACCCCATCATGCATTGGGGACAAATCGCAAAGGCAAAAGAGGGAATATCAATCAACTCAAGTTCTTCCCACCACGATCAAGCTGCACGAACACAACAATAGAGCTTGGAAGCATCTGAGAGTTCGAAGGTTTCCAATACACTCAGTGTCCATCCTTTGCAAAGGTTTTCATTCTAGTTTGTTCAATGAATTGCATTCCCTTTTGATGTTTGTACAAAGTCACCTCCGAGTTCTCGAACTTTGTCATCTGTATTACCCGCTTGCATCTCCTCGATCCCTTATGTCTAGCAGGACGAACGCGACTCCTTAGCACCTTATTAGGAACTTTTTAGTACCTTCACCATTGTTCATGGATTGGGTATTTAAACATGCACCTGTATAAATCGGTTTTAAACCCCAGACCGATTTTATTGGCGGGGGAATATGCTTTAATAACCGAGGAAATATCTCTCACTATACTCAAACGTCCTTGTCTAGGAGTCTCCTTCAGCTCGTATCAAAGTAGCAGTACCTGGTACCAACCCCCCTCTTGTTCCTCATCCACCTAACCCCCTGCACGCGGGTTTTTACAATACATTATCGAGGGGTGCGCCGCAAATAACACCCCACTGTACCCTTTAGGTCCAATTTAGAGACCCCAAACAGCCATTGAAAAGTATGCACCGCCCTATATTCGTCGATTTTCTCTCCTTTCAACTTTTCCAGCTCGATCTTGTGCGCCGGCGTTACGATATCGTACGCATAGACGAGAATCAATTATCTGAAGATTTGAAACCTGTCTGTCAGGCTCATAAGTTCAACAGGCAATAGGAACCACAGCAACCTTAGTTCGCTCAATCCCCAATTCCTTCGACCGGCTGCCCTAGCTTAAGCGGACAGGTCTTGCCGTCTAACCCAGCTGGCGTCATGCACTGACTATACTACAACGTCGACTGGGTCGGATCCGACATGTCTAGCGTGCTGGCTTGCTCAGTGGAGGAATGCATAGAAGCGCGGCACACGGTGAATCAATACAATGCGACGAATAAAGCGGGTGTATGAGCTGCGTATGTGCTAGCGTGGGGAAATACGGCAGTGGCGTTGATATAGGTAGATCGACGAAGTAACTGTTTCTTGACGTATAAGGTAGAGGGGTATATTATGAAAGTGATCGACGTGGAGGCTGTTGGAGTTTGTTAGGAGGGAAGGTGTCCGCAGGTTGAGCAGGGGTCGAGAGGGTAGTGAGGGGTAAGAAGGGAGGGTCAATGAATGACATGGCGCTGGAGAGGGGATGGCTGTCACGCAGGCTAACTACTTACACGCCACTTTCGGACAGTATGAAACGCTAATTCTGAATCCTGACACGAGAGCAGCGCATGCGACAGCTTCCATTGCAGGATATTATAAACAGTTCTAGAGGGTGTCTCCTATAACCTCTTGGCGGTATTAACCACTAGACCTCATCCCTCCTCCTCCCCTTCCTTTCCCATCCCATCTCCTTACCCCCAGCCTTTGGGACACCTCCCCTCCAAACAAATCGCCACAACCTCTACCCCCCTCTTATTCGCCGCCCATCCCCCAGCGTCAGCCTTATACTTTAAAAAACAATTACTCGGCCTCGCAGATTCTAGCAGCGCTAAGGAGGCATTGACCCACGAAGGCACGAACGAGGCTCCTACACAAAGCTTCCCATCCGTAGCATTGTATTGGTTTACAGTATGGCAGGCTTCTATGCAGGAGGACAGGGTGGGTGTGAGGGCAGCGACGAGGTCGGAGCCGGTCCAGTCAATAGCGCAGTGAAGGGTGTAGGAGACTGTGGTTATGGTGGAGAAGAGTGTTTGATTGTTGGAGGTAGGGCAGCCAGTTGTAGGGATTGCAAGGAGGGTGGTGGTGTTTTGCTGTGGACTAGGGCTGAGGGTTTCGGTGGTGTTTTCTGGTGGGGGTGGGGGTGCACATGATGTTTCAGCTGGACTAGAATTGGGATTGGCAATGTTTGCGGCTCCTGTTTTGTTCGAAGTAGTCTGCATGGCTTTCCCAATGAAGCCACCTGCTAGCCCTGAAATAATTGCGATCAGAAGTGAGAAGACGAGAAGGAATGGCCAGCGCGTCCACCTTCCCGTCCTGTCTCTAGCCTTCGCGTCACCATTCCCACCTGCGACCGCCCCAGGTTCGAGGACATATTTCGGACTAGAGTCTAGGATAGAGTAGAGCGGGGAGTATTCCTTTGGTATGGCCAGGGCTTCCGGCAGCTGCGAGGGCTGGTAAATGGGAGATGGGGTCCGTTTATGGAACGGGAACTGGGGAGATGGTTAATGAAGTGGGATGGAGGAAGATGGGGCTCGGACTAGAGTGGCTTCCATTCTCACACACAGCGCGCATGTCCGGTCCGGGCGTATTCGGCCTGCTGAAATGCGCCGCGTTTAGCGGGCCCACAGCATGCTACCTAGGAGGTATCGAAAGTCAATTTACGAGTGAAAATTCCTGCTCTAGGTGCTATCGCGTCGTCGCCAAGAACAAGATGTGGAAGGAATGTAAAGACGAAGACGAGGCGGAAGACCAGAAATCCTGGGTTTCGCGTACTTTTCAATAAGGACCCGCAGATTCCAAATCGCCCCCGCGGAGTACCTTTGACGGAGATGAGGTGTGCATATGGACATGGGGCGGGATCCTCCTCGTTGATGCGGAGCGGGGATTGCAGGTGGGTAGTATGGATGAGAAATTGCGAGAACATGGAGAACCTGAGAAACGGATTCAAGGAAACAACGGAGAGAGTGCCAATTGTTGGGAGAATTGAATTGAGAGACTGTGCGCATATTTTTCTACTGGTAAATAGGAGCTGGGCAAGAGTGGGAGGAGATTTTAGCCCCAAGATATTTTTGCTTGTGTTGAAACTGGTTAAAACAAGGAGTGCATATTCAGCAACACTATAGACTTTGGGGAGGTTAAAGGAGAAAGTGCATTATGAAGAGCGTAGCGTGCAATGCCCTGACGAAAACAAGCTCGGCCATTCACTCACTTTCTCGTGACCGTGTGCAATCACAAAAGAGACGAAGCAATCTTTCGAATGACGTCACAGAAAACCCCACCAGGTCTCCAGAAACGGAATTCAAAATCCCTAGAATATACTGGAGCTCCTATACCTATCTCAACTTTCGCACGCTACATCGCGCAATTAGGCACTACGCCAAACATCTTCAACTGCGCTCTGGACTCAATCGCGACTCGTAGTCTCATGGACTACAACCTATACAATCCTTACGGACGGTGGCTGCACTGAAATGTGCAGGTCTCTCCACACGATATGCAACTCTTCTTGCACAACTGAGACCTCGCGTTCTCCTGACTCCCGGATAGAAACATTAGAATAGCGCCTCCGTCTGAGAGGAGTCGTGTCAATGTGTACAATGGACCTGGTCTCATTGACTACGGGCATTGGGAGAGGATAAATAGGGATCTCCGAATAGGTGTGAGGCTGCCGCGGGATAGAGTTGACCATTGGGTCGAAATAGCCGTTTGAGTGTGAGGCAGCTAGCGGGGCTGGTAGCGACTTGTGTTATCTATTGCTTCTACTACCTAGAAGCATCTCTTTGCTCTCTAGTTTCTACTTATTAAGCTTAACATAAACCTCTATGTATACAGCTAGCATCTTAGTCCTCTAGATGTTACTGCCTTGTTATTGTAACGGCGCAGGCAAGACAACGGGTCCGAATGCGGTATGAATCCACTCAGAGGTATATAGGAGTGCTTGGGGACTTAGAAACCTGGGAATTCCATTAACACCTATAGGCCTTGTACAAAGGATATCAGAAAACTACTAAACTAGCTAAGGGGAGAGGTGCAGCTAAATACTTGGGGGAATAGGGGCACAGCAGGGACTAGGGCAGGGTCGGGTCAGATACGAGGAACCTTCGATGTAGGTTCGTCGGGTAAACTTTGCATGGAACGATTCATGCGAATCGTCACAGTTATAAATCAACTACCTTCTTCTTAACAAGCATTAACTAAAACTATAGTAAACACCTAACTTTTAATGTCTAGCTCTAGCATAACTAAAACTTTCTTACACATTATAGAAAAATTAAATAAGCTTAAAAATAAGCAAATAGCTGCCTATAAAGCTGCTATAGAACTGTATAAATAAGTTAAGTTTTTTACTTAGCAACTATTAAAAGTCTAGCAAAGACTTATAAAAATTACTTTACTTAATAATTTTAATAGAATGTAACATAAGGACATTCTAGTGTAGGCTGTGGTGGTTAAGATACGGATGATGTGGCGACGAGTGCTGGCTGGCTGGCTGGCTGGTTGCCTGTTACAACGGCGGTGTTTGTGGCGTCGTTGGCTTGGCGCGGATCCTTCCCGCCCGCGAAATCCAGCACCCCCACACACAACATTCGCTTTCACTGCGCACTCTTAAGCTCTCACCACTACTCCCGCCCATTCCTACCAATTTCAACGTCGTGTTTCTTCGCAATATACCCGAATCACTTCCCACTCACTCGATCACAGGCAGAAGAAGATAGCCTGAGAAAGCCCCTTCATCTTCGCACTTCTCGCTCCCCCTTTCGACACCCTCCGCCACATGTCATAATTATTGGTACAACCACCCGCATACCGCGCAATGCTTAACTTCAGGCCACTACAGGTGGCAAAGCGGAAGCTACAATCCTACAACCAGGTGCCGACACACGATGTCGAGGACGGCGACATCTACAACGAGAAGCGGTACGACAGCGACGACGACGAGAGCTATGTCTCTTCCACAACATCCTCCCCATACTCATCAAGAGTATCATCAGGCGTGTTGCATACAAGACAGCGGTCAACAACGAAACCGACCGTCAGCGCATACAGTTACAGGAATCCGCGGGCGTTCACGAGATACTTTGGTCTGGCCATAGCGAGCACCTTAATATTATTCGTTCTGTTTTTAATGAAAATGGGTTGGGCGTCGGCAAGGGATGTGGAATTAGGGCTGAATAAACCGCCGCCGCCGCCGCACGTGTGGGAAGCGTTTCCATTCTTGAAGCGGTACCATGGCGGGATACGGACGTTACAAGCGAGGGATAAGAATGTGCCCGAGTATCCGCGGAAGGAGGATATTGACCCGGACTTACCCCCAGGTAAGACAGGAGAACTGCAGGAGGACGAAGCACAGTTCGAAAAGCGTTCGGAAAATGGGGCTGTGCCACTAGGGGATGTGTTTACCCCGTACCCAGACTACCAAAGTTTGAAATATTTGGACCAGTACGGACCGGTGGAGACGTGCTATTTGGACGTCAACGATACCGTTAAGATCCCGTCTTTGAGGGCGTACAAGGGCGTGCCGGATGGCCAACCGGACAATATCTTAGGTTCTTACGATGTTTTGGGTCTTCGCAAGGACGTCTGCTTTGAACGGTTCGGACGATTAGGCCCATATGGCCTAGGCTACAGTAGGAAGCTTGGCGGCACCGGTGCTGGAATGGAAGGAGACCGTGAAGGCATTGAGAAAGTCTGGGAAGCTACCCCTGAAGTCAATTTCCAACATGTAAAGTGGGGCGCGGCCCAGGACCGCTGCTTGGAGAAAAACCGCTTCCGCTTCAAGGCTAAGCCTAAAGGACGCAATCACTTCTTCCAAACCATGGCCACTAAGGGACCAAAGGATGAGACCATCAATGCAACATCTGGCGAGATCGGTGATGTTGAGGAACCGGTAAAAGAGCAGGAAGTGGGGAAGAAGTACACCAATGGCACCGTCCGCGCTCAGCCAAAATCACAACACAAAAACCTGCTCCCTCGCACCTGCGTTTTGATCAGAACGTGGTGGGATTACAAGTACGACGACGAAGATATCATGTTCCTCCGCGCTCTCGTATCCGAACTCAGTATTCAGTCCGGTGGTGAATATGTAGTGCATTTCTTGATCCATGTCAAGGACAACAATAAGCAGATCTGGGCCGACGACCAAGTTTACCAGGAAACGCTCAATAACTCCTTGCCGCCGGAGTTTGAGGGGATGGGAACTCTCTGGTCTGAGAAGCAAATGAGTCTCATCTACGCTGGCGTGGATGAGGCCAAGTTTCGCGACCTCCCAGTTCATGGTGCCTACCGTTCTACCTTCATGCCCGTCACGTATTTCGCGCACCAGCATCCCGAATTCGACTTCTTCTGGCAGTGGGAAATGGATGTTCGATACACCGGCCACTACTACCATCTCTTCAGCCAAGTCGCTCAGTGGGCCGACAAGCAGCCCCGTAAGGGACTCTGGGAGCGGAACTCCCGATTCTATGTCCCTGCAACCCATGGCTCTTGGGAAGACTTTTCACACATGGTCCGCGTGCAAACTGAGCATGGAACAAACAGCAAAGCTAACACCTGGTCCTCGCACCTCCCCCCGAATCCGCACATGCCTGAAGCCGAAACACAGAAACCCGAAAAGCCAATATGGGGTCCCGAACTCCCCTACGATTACCCCGATATCGAACTTGACGACGCCATCATACCCCCGACCACCTCCACCGAAGACAAATACGAATGGGGTGTCAACGAACCCGCGGATCTCATCGTTTTCAACCCTCTCTTCGACCCCGACCACACAAACTGGATTCTCGCCGAAGACGTCACGGGCTACAACCGCAGCCAAGGCTTTCCCCCGCGTCGAACCGCTATTAATACTTCTGGTCGTCTTAGTCGCAGACTTCTCGAGACTATGCACAGAGAACAATCGCTCCATCGGCACACTATGTTTAGCGAAATGTGGCCCGCGTCCTGCGCACTACACCATGGTCTCAAGGCTGTATTTGCGCCGCATCCCGTCTTTATCGACCGGAAATGGCCGGTGCAATATCTCGCCGCAATCTTCAATAACGGGCGGAATGGCGCGTCGGGGGGAGCGAGACTCTCTATCTTTAGTGATGAACGCCAGCATAATTTCAAGGGCACTACGTGGTACTATGATGCGGGGTTTGCGCCGAATTTGTGGAAGAGGTGGCTCGGGTATAAGGTTGATAATGATGGGGGGGAGGAGGAGGAGGTGGAGGGCGAGGGGAGAATGTGTCTGCCTGGTGTCCTTTTGCATCCGGTTAAGGATGTAGAATTGGTTTTTGAACGGGTTGCAGACGATGAGGATGATGAGTGAGTGTATGAAGGGGAGTGGATTTGAAGCGATTCGAGGGGTGTTGAGCTTCTTTGTTGATATTGATGGTTGGGCGGCGATGATATGCTATGGCGTTTTTGGAAGAGATGGGGCGCGTCTTAAGTGTGCTTCCCTGTATATGTATTGGTAATTTGGGATGGGTCTTCATGTGTGTATGCATACCTATGAGAGATGTTTTGAGACCACCTAGGTCGTTTACTGCAGGTGCCTTCTGAGGTTGGAACATACCGAGATTGAATGTATAAAGATCATGCTAAGCCCCAACTCTCCCGCTGTACAGACGTATGATGGCCAGATTAGAAGCTATCACCCGCTCAGTACCCACTTGCTTTTTTGTCACAGGGTTTGCCACTACATTCCCTCCAGCTCCATCCCGATATTTCCTTGCTACCTTGCTACCTTGCTGCCTTGCTGCCATAACCATAGTCCTTAACCTGCTACTATTCATCCAGGGGAAGTTCTATTACCCGGCGTCCACGCTTCGTTCAGGCTCATATCATGTCATGAAACCGAAATCGAATCGAGTCGTGTCGAAGCACTGTCAAAAAAACCCCGACAGCATACTCTTACCATCCTAATCGCAAACGTCCTAGAGTCTCTTTCGAATTGCTTTAAACCGGTCTAGGAAAAGAAACATCTTGATGTCATGAAGTGAGGAATCGCCGGGATGGGGATACAGAGCCTTCAGAAATTGTCCCATCATCTATGTGGACAATTCTCACTAGTATTCAAAGAGTAAGGAAAGAGCCTTAAAGAGGCTGATATGGAGTTGCGTAGACTTAGAAGATGTTAAGAATATGATGCTATGGTGGATCGAGACTTCCAAAATTAAGTACTTATTGACTTACTAGACGTTACGCTGGCTCTTATCGCTTTAAAGCGTAACCAAGACCGCCATGGTATTTAAGAGTCATCTTGACCCGCAAGGCTTCCGGGTAGAAGATCAAATTTACCTTATTGCAGAAAATCCATTGATGCATAATGCGAATTAGGGCGATTTCTTAGGGCTCTCGCAATAGCATACACTAAGGGGTGTGAATATGGCATTTGAACGGCTTGAGAAAGTGTTCGCAAATCCGCCAAATATCCGCTGAGAGACTTGCCACGTGAGAGAGACCTTACTGAGAACTCAATCAAGTTAAGCCGTCCTGATGCATTGAAGTCCTTTTGACATGTAGTTGATTTCGGCGGCGTAGATGCAGATTTCCTTTACGGCACAGCCAATTCCATCTCCGATTTTGTAGACGAAACTGCCGGTTACAAGATTACTCTTACTTTAAGCTGCAAATGATTTTTATACTTGTGTGGTTTATAAGACCTTCTTCTTTCAGATATAACATACGCCTTTTTCTAATAAAAAAAAGGACGGCAGCGTTATCTTCTAGTTAAGACCCCTAAAACAAAGTAGTAAATTAAAAGTGTAGTGTTTTTTGTCTCATAATTATAGGTGTAATACAAATTTACAAGTAGCCAAGTGTTACAAATATATAAGAAAAGAAGCTACATCAACGAGCAACGGCAGAGGAGAGATATCGTGGCTTGAGGGCCAATAGTATGGGACACAAGGATGCGCTAACTCTTGCAGGAGGAAAGAGCATTAATGGATAGGGGGGTTCCCTTTCTAAGGTTCCTAGTTAGTTATTCTTCGAAGGACTATCATTTGCCAGCAATTGTGAAGTCGGTTTATTCATCCTAGATAAAGGTTCAAGAATTCGCAAGTACCTTGCTAAACTTCCACTCCTAATCTTGAGAAAACAATCGCAATACTTGCAACCGCTTACCCTCATAATACAGCCATACGAGAACTGCATCTTAAAGCCCTTGTTTCTTGTAATAAGAACAAACTGCAAAAGAGAATCCAGTAGATGGTCGAGGGTTGATGCTCTTTACAGTATTATAAAGCACTAGCTCCTCCACCATGGAACCAGGGTTTGAGACACTACTAACCCTTACCGATCTGATTCTCCTCTCAACACCCTACCCCGCAATAACGGCAATATACTGGCTATTCACGGACGAAGCCATTTCTTCTACCGCAGGTCTCCGCAAGGTTGGCAAGAGTGCTTGGATCTGGCTGCCTCGCATATACCTCATCTTGCGTATGATAAATCTGGCTGAAGCCATGGAAAGCCTCATCCGAGAGAGCCTGAGTGATCTCTCTCTTCCGTTCACATGGCAAAATCTCCCGTCGGCAATTAAAGATGCAGGCGTAAGGTGGGAGTTTTTAAAGGTACAGAATCTTGTTCTCAGCAAAGTTTGGACCCCTACTACGGACATTCTTTTGCTGTTCGGCAATAGCTCCCTCTATTCTGGAGCCATATGAATGTTTACCACTAGGATGTACAACTGGGGAACATTCTTGTCCATAAAGCATCTCGTATTTGGAAAGATTTCGGGTTGAGTCGAGATTGGACTAGCTCGGACGGTAGTAGTATATAGGGCTCAACACCACATACGCCATGTTACGCTGCTCCAGAGGTTTCCAAGTATGCGCTCAGGAATTCTTCTTCAGACATTTGGTCATTGGGGTGCGTCTTCTTGGAAATGTGGACGTCTCTTTTCAGTGTCCCCGTCGCTTCTTTACATGATCATCTCGAAAAGAATGGCACCCAGTCGGCCTGTTATCATCTGAATATGTCCGTCATGGACTCCTGGTTTATATCCCTTCAACTTTTGACTATACTACCAATGGGCCGGTAGATTAGATTTGAAGTATGCTACCGGAAGAGTAAACAGGTGCTTTGTGGTCGCATTTAAGATAGGATTGAAAGCGACCCGATCCCCTTCATTGGTCTATGTTGTAATAATACGATAGCCTCCTCTGAGCATGTAGCTGTTTCGGTGAATGAGAACCCCTGCATGAACCGACACCAGCCTGGGAGCCCATTAGGGGATTTTGAAGCACAAGAGGGCTCAGTGAGGGATCTGAAGATGGACTTGCTTTTTTCGGGGCATATACGTACAACCACGCCCTCATTCTCCTTGCTAGATTGGGATAATCACTGCGCCCGCGGTTCTGGCTCTAGTTCGTCCGGTTCTGTCCTTCTAAAGCGGTAGCCGAAACGAGTTGTCTACCAAAGGGAGAGGATCACTCTACGCAACGCCGTCGTAGCCCAAGCATTCCTATAGCGAAATTTTACCGAAACGGATAACGAGACAGGCACGGAACGGATTAATGGCAAGGACAAGGGGTATGGTAGCTGTATCCCATCTCAACGAAGCCGTAATCATGCGCTGCACAGTGCAGCTACTCTTGTTGGAAGCGGTGATCTAGGCAGTGGACTACGACGAACTTTTCACTCAATACATTGTAGAAATTGCCGTAGAAAGCGTTGTCAACATGGAGTTTGTAGTTAGGTGCAAGGTACGAGCAGCCTATAAGTTGGAACCAAGTAATATAACTGATTGAGTAATAGGATGCAAACTGAACCTAGGTTTAGCCTAGTACCGTAGCTAAATCCTCGTAGCCCGCCAATAGTGAGAGGCGTTCATTACAGCTTTAATATAATAGATATACTAGGCTCGGAGCAATTGTTAGACTATACGACTGTCCACGGGTAGACACAGGGTGATTAGAGACTGCATGTAATCCTGGCTCGAAGAGTATTTCAGCTGTTCACGGTAATAGTACGCACATATATAGAGAGTTTGTTTACCCCACTTTACTACACAATGTTGATACGTTCTAAATCCAGATCTTTATTGCCTAGGTACAACTCAGTAGTATTATAGTTCTTAGCCTGTTGAATATTAGAGGGTGAATGATGGTGATAATACCGTTTTTGGAAGCATGTATTGTTGCATATGTATATATCCTTGGATCAGCCTCTACTTTTGTGTACGGATAATTGCAAGCAATGTGTTAAAGATTGTCTTAACGTACCGTCATCCAAGTAACCTTCGAACTTGCCTGCCGTCCTTCGGGAAGATTATCACGACATTAATCCCTCTCTTCATCGCGGCATTTCCTACGACCAACTCCATCTAGCAGCGGGAAGCAGATTAGGATGAGGTCGCTGTCTAGAGTTGATGTTACCAGCACCGCATTTCCCAAATGTGGTTCCTTGAATGGCACAACTGCAGCCACACATCTAACGATCCAATAGCAAAGGACAACCACCCAATGTCAGCCCTGTAGTGTTCTAAGCGTAATGGGGCCTGGGCGCCGTTCTCAGGCTACAACGACATAAAAATTTGTCAACATTCTCTTGACGTCCCTCATGCGACACGATAAACTTCTCCGATGGCATCATTCCCGACCTCTTGGGTAATCGAGACAGGAGGCTATCGCACGGCTCCCCCCCGCTCACCAACCACCATTCCCTCGTCCCCGCCTTTAACCCCTCCAAGACATCAACCCAATGAAATAAATCAAGGGCCATGTACGTCGCTGAATCCTTACCTGACGTCCAGTTTTGCCTCGGGGGACTTAGACAAGCCACCGAGCTCGACGCGGCAAGGTCGCACGACGACGCCGGGACAATATTCGGCCTCGTTCCCCTCGTCGTGGCTCCTCAAAACGTCGTCTCCCACCGCGAGCCAAAGCAACACAATTACTCTGCGTCCTAGAGTGGGAAACTCTCGAAGTCCGTTTACGTCGCATTTGTCGGTGCCGACGAGTGTGATGTCAAGCACGGTCGTGAGTTCCCAGTCTCTGGCGCGAGCAACGCGTCCCGCCAGCACCGCACCCACGAAGCAGCAGACGGAAGGGCTTGAGACAGTACCCCACAATCAAGGCAACCTTTACAGTGAAGGTATGGGCACGGATGGTCGTGCGTCCACTGGGACGAAAGATAAGCGGGAAGAAACTAGCGCTTGGCTAGAGTCGCTTGCACAAACGAGCTCGGAACTGGAACAGCAGCAAAAACAACAAGGGGAATCGCTGTTGAGTGCCAGTAGCAATCCGGATGTTGATGAAGAGGTAGCTGTCGGATTCGATGACGGTTTATCTGTCTTCTCAGGACTTGGGGATGCCCCTCATGATCCTCCAGAGGTTCTCGGAACGTACTCGTACGCAGGATCAGTGTACACAGGATCAGTGACCCGCCGAATTTAACCAATGACTCGTTAATTTAGCGCAGACAGGAAATTGTATATATGGGTTAACCACTATTGTAATTTTACATATAAGACGGGAGTTTCGGGAGGGAAAATCTTATTTGGGGGAAACGATCGGCCACTGTACCTAGCACAGGAAGATGCGGGTTTTGCATTAATCAAATATATCCGGAGACCTAACTAGCTATCAAGATAGTAACACATTTGAGAGCTTCTTCGCCCTCTTTCGTGCCCTCTACCCAATTCCATGAAGTAATATAAACAAAAACTGACTTAAAAAGGAATGACGAAGCTCAGAGTGATAGATCACATCTGGGATATCAAGTCCGCAGCGAGGCCAGGGCTAATGGCTAGTGGCATAAGGATGACCTTTTTCATTGTTGTGCTAACTTTCAATGCATTGAAGCAAGCCATCGGAGTGGGGTATACCTGACCGTATGTTAAGAGATGGTGGAGGAAAACGGCCATGGCCGGGCCGCTCTGGCGCTCTATGGCTTCAAATTCCGCTTGGTTTCTCAGTAATTGCAAGCTCTCGGGGTCTAAAAGATCGTGCGAGAGGAGCTCTGAGACGGGTATATCCACTTTTCCAATCTGGTTCATGGTCGGAAGTTGTAGATCCCCCGACCTCTTTTTAGATATGTACAGTTCCGTGACATGGAACAAAACGCGTTGGAAGAGCAAAGTTTGCATTTGATCTGGTTGGACATAAAGTAGAGACAGCAGCCTCAGCAGAGCCATGAAACCTGGAATGGGATATCGAAGGAGAAGCAAGTCCACATTGTCGACATTGCCCGGGCTTGCAAAGTGATCGGTGGAAAGCAAACTGCTAAGGGTTGTCTTTGTTACTGCTTCCTTTTCATTCCCAAACGCAGCACTGAGTGTCGACGGAATTTCCGTAATCTGGGCCAGATTGCGAATGGCCCATTGTCCACATCCTCGAAAGAGTTGTTTTTCCTCAAGAGACGCTTCACGTACTTCGTTCTCCACCAACTTCTTGTCGATGATGGCGACACAAATGCTGAGCAAGTCCGAGATGTCGAACCGTCCCCTCACGGCCTGGTCGATTCCTTCGAGCCAAGTAGCTTGATTGCTCCCCACGCACACAAGGCACAAGGCGCCAATGATCGTGTCCTTGTACGGACATACCCCCACGCGTTGGAGATGGAATGCACAAGCATCGCAGCAGACGAAGAACGAGAGCAAATCCATCTCTGCAAAATTTCCCATGGCTAGTGGGAAGGCTAGCTTAGCGTAAGTTCCTTCGCGCGGAAAGTTCTCTGTCGTGACCCTTGGAGGGGACTTGAGCAATAAGGTGAGGACGGAAGTTGAGTGACAAAGCATGCATTGCCCTCTATATTCGCTAACTGGTTTTCGTCGGCGAAACCCAGGGAGGCAAACTACATCAAGACCGTCCGCGTTGTCGCGTTCTCTCATTAGAGTGGATTCGTGGGTATCCGGTTCGTCTAAATCATTGCCTACGTTAAGAGCCTCCCAAGCATTTCTTCTTTTCAGTTTATTCATAATCACTCCTTGCCGTAATCTGTTATTCATCTTTCGATACGGCATCTCGGCATTCATCTCATCGTTAAAGGTTCTACAGAATTCCTTCAAGTTGTTTTCGTGAGCTGACCTGGCCTCGGCCCGTAAATTACTCAGCTCGTCGGCCGGTGCATTGAATCTAAGGGCTTCTAAAAGATTGTCGATAGCCCGCTGGGCTCTACCACCTATATCCCGAGGATAATTTGTTCTCTTTGGGAGAGGCATTTGTTGGGCTTGTAGCCATGCTTCCACATCTTTCCCGGTCCCTCTCGTCATCGATGCCAGAACGATGCTTTTGAGATTATCGTCATCCTTCATAATCTGTTCAACAGTTCCTGGGTCCGTTTTGCCAGAGAGCAAGTCAGACAATTTGACCACGGCTCCTCCTTGTAGTTGTAGTTCGTCGGCTTTTAACTGACGGGCTTCGTTAAGGCCAACTCCCGAAAGGCTTTGGTACGAAAATCTAGGTAACTCAGACCAAGCAGTGTACTTAGTCACCACAGGTTGGATTTGGTCGTGGCCTGTAGTCGGTAGCAATTCTTTGAACTTCCCCTTCGCCTGCATGACTCGTACGATTCCGGTAGGGATGTCGTGAAACAGGAATAAGCAATCTGGCACAACCGCATATATGGCAATGCCAACGGAAATATTGGAGGCTGCAGGGCGGCTACGACTTGCATCGCCGAAGACAATAATAACGCAGGGCGTGCCCTGGAGGCAGACTTCGTTTGTCTTCACGGCGAAGTTCTCCACCAGGCTGTCGTATATCTGGCCATCGGTTAAGAGAAACCATATTCCACATGACTTTAACGCGGCCAGGCAATCGTCAGATGAATAGAGCACCGATGGATCTGTCAATCCTTCACCTTGAAGTTGCATCATCATTTCGGTATCGTCGGGCAACTTAATAGGATCCAGGGCTTCGCCAGACCATGGTAGCAGGTGAACTGGTGCTTTGTTGGTGTCGAATCGAAGTCGGCAAAGCTCTTCAACAACCTGGATTTCCGTCTTCAATGTCTTGCCATACGTGCTTCCGGACTTGTCGAGGGCGATGGCCATAGGTAGAGAGCCCAGCATCTGCTGCTGAGGCTGCTTTGAATATTGCGCCATTATCGATTGTGAGTGTTGGGTGAAGGGGCCGTTTCTGTTAACTTGAACCCGTAGTGTGGAATGTGTTGAGGCACACTGGCAGTAGCTGCAAGATAGAGCTGGGCTCTCGCATTGAAGTTCTAAACCAAACACTGTACGGCTGCAAGACTAGTGGAGTGATAAATTTGTCCAGTCGTACGGCTGTCAGCTATCATGGTCTCCGCCTTAGCTCCCCTCACCGGTGAATTAAATAGGAAAGCCCCCCCGCCCTTATTCGGTAAATGCAACCTCGTCGCCTTGGATGACGTCTTGCACTCCTCGAAAGTCAACCCTGGCCTCCAATCACTTGAATCAGTTTCAGTCAAGATTATCCTCGCTCGGCTGGCCACTAACCATTACCGGCACCCAACGTCGAGATTGTGTGACCATAGCGGAAGAAAACCCCGCCTTGAGAAGGCTGAGGAATTAGGCACCTATCTCTCTCGCTCCAAATTTCCGAGATAGGTTTAGCTTATGAAGAGTGTTCTGATGTCGCGTTGGCCCGTGATACTAAGCAATGCAAACATAGGCAGCTCGACTTAGCTTCTTCTCCTTTCTAATTTCCTTTTTAGGCTGGCCAGCAAGCAGTTCTTTATAAACGCTCCCTCTGTATTGAAGACTACTGAGATAGATTTAACGCTGAGAAAGTTGATAAGCTCTGGGTTCAATATGTGGTTATTTCCCATTTCGTCTGCACGACAAACAGAAATTTCTAACATTTGACCTAGGAAGAATGATCGCTTCTTGAAGAGCAGCATTGATGTGTTTAAAAACACTTTTCTAGCCTCAGAGACGTCATTGAGGATTGTCGGCCTGAATAATCAGGGAGGTTAGTGCGCTACAGTGTGTCGCCCGTGCCTCAAATTCGATGCTTACGCCGATTAGCCTGCGTGGACAGATTGCTAGATGATGCAGGGCTGGAGAACTTCTTGAATGTAACGTCTAGCTTTAGTGGCTCTCTCTTCTCCACTTTCGCCTATTTGGTGTTTCAATCACATGAATTACCTCAAATGTTAATTCGTCGAGGTGTACACAGGTCATCGATGCAACGAAAATGACGACGTTGTGAGTGAGCCTCCATGGCTGTACCCCTTCACACTCGTGTCTTACATGTCGTCGGCTCTAGATTCATCAATCGATGTCTTGTCCCTGCTATAGGCCCCTGGCCAAAGGATGCCAATAGATTACAACTTTCCAGACAGGCTTTCGACTTACTATGCTCTCGGCTAGGTTTGTCAACGTCCTTCCTCCACAATCTCGCACACATACATCATCCGTCTCCACGATCAATTCCAGTGAAAATGGCAGATGCCAACCTCGATTTTTGGGTTTTCTTTCCCGTACGAGTCCAAGTCGAGTCTATCTCTAAAGGAAGAGGTCAAATGAACCCAGCAAACTACTTGCATCTGCCTCAAGTTAGACCTGTTAAGGTCGACATCCGTGGCTCTAAAATCGCAGTATATTATCTTTTCCGCACTACTACAAAGCACGCTTCTGCCCTTGTCATAAATTTTCAAGACGGCCGATGGAAGAAGATCGTAGAAGAGCCAATGGTTCGACTTCGAGATATATATCGAGACTGCGATAACAGAGACTTCGGTCGAGATCCCTTTGGCTTGCAAATTGCGGTCCTCGTCAGCGTATTAAGATGGTGGAACAATTCGTTGAATAGCTTTAATGACCAGCTTATCGCATATGTAAGGACTTCCATCATACTAGTAGGCACCTTGACATTAGATCCTGATTTGATGCGTAGGAGGAAACATTACTCCTCCAGGACACCACAAATGAGGACTTACATCGCACGAACGCGGAGATAAACCAGTCTCTGCACTGCATGGCTGCACACCTTCACCGTTATGGCTCTGAGCTACGCTCGCTTTCTGAGATCATCAGTGACATCAAGTCCTACAATGAAGCTTTCGATGCAGTTTTTATCGCACACGGGGTCAGAAGCGCAGACACCCTTATTCGGGCGGTGAAAGAATTAGACCAGGCAGCATCTCATGCTGCAGCAATCTCCACTTTCAGGGACGAGTTGCAGCACAAAATTGACAATATCCTTGCTCTAGCAAGTCTATCCCGTCTAAGAAGTCCCCGAAATGTATTCTTATGAAGTGCAGCTAGTTGATAACACCCAAGCACACAACGATCAGCTCCTTGTCCAGAATAGCAAGGCAATGCAAGAGATTCTAAAGGCAACGGAAGAGCAGGCAGCACAATCTTTAGCTATGGCAACACAAACCAAACGACTGACAGAAGACATGGCTAAAATACTTCAACAGACGCAACAAGAGACCGAAGCCTCGCGCCAAGTAGCAATTCAATCACAAAGACTTTCTGAAAAGATGATGGAAGACAGCGTCGCGATGAAAACGGTAGGCTTACAAGACTCAATTGTTTTATCGATCCTCTACCATTCTGACATGCACTACTTAGATCGCCCTATTAACTGCGTTTTTCCTTCCTGGCACATCGTTTGCTGTAAGTGAATTGTTGCCCTAGTTGTGGGTGTATAATTCGCCATTCTAAGCTAATACTATAACCAACACCAGGCTATCCTCGCATTACCCTTTTTCAAGGATAAGTCCTGGTTCAATAGTACTGCTGGGATATGGATTTGGGTTGTGGCTACTATCCCGTCGACTCTCGTATGCTTCTTGTTCTACTGGTCCTGGAGTCGTCGAGAACTTGTAAAAAAAGAGAAAAATCACCCGTAACAAATAAATGCTAAGCAATCCGTTAGCATACTACTTCAGGAACCTGACTCTCTGAAACAAAACCCCATTGCTAATACAGATTTAATGCAAAAGGCGTTAAGCAAGGACTAAAACCCGAGTGAATCCAGTTTATATCCTCCGTCCAAAGTCGTTATAATTCAAGTATATGGATTTCCCCTTAGTTCACTGAACGAATGGCAATGGTCTTATATCTAAAGAAATTGTTGCCGCCCGAGTAGAAAATCTAGATGTAAGTGTATGGAGTTGATGATATAACTACAGCCACGGCTATACTCTAACCTTCCGGTCCCACTCTATCTCAATCCCTCCAGCTCCCAAACACCAACTCCTGCTTCTCCGTCCCACCACCGTAGTTTTCGAGAGACCGAATAATACGTAACGCGTAACCTCTACTTCAAGCATATCTCCCTTCGCCATCTCAATGCAAATCGCAATCTTTTTGCAGTTACGGAGCTCTCACGAACTCAGCTAAACTCCATCACCTGCTCGTACCCACTAACCGCTTACTGTCTAGCTCACTCCTTTGTATATAAACCTGTAGGGTACACTCCTTCTGTAATCACCTTAGTTCCTCGTGGCTCCGGTGCTCCCAACTGCTTCCCACATTCTCTGGGTTGATTTGATCTGCATCTATCTTGATCAATCCTGAGTCAAACACTGCAGAAAGTTGAGGTTGGAACCTCTGTTATGTGAGGCGTTTGATGTTGTGTATCTGGCTTGCTAAGTTAGGAAATTGTAACCTTTGTGTTCTTAAAATATAAATACATTATGATATTAGGCCACTTATGGCACCTTGAAAGTTTAATTTTCCTCTTGCACCTTTCTCCTTCTTAGGTCAGCGCCGTGCTTCCCCCTTTCTAGGAGTAACTTTATTATAAGACACTTGTAGGGTTCTCTTACCTTGAAATTGCCTTATCACATTGTGATGTGCTTCATACATAGAGCTTCCAAGTCATGCTACTTTCAGTGAGCTGGATTTGGCCTGGCTGCGGATAAGAGCAAGGAAGTTGGAACCCGGGCATCCTTGTTTTTGGGTATAGAATAAACTTTTTATTACTAGATATATCATACGTTCCTTTGAAAAACATATATCTTGCAAGGAGAAAGCCTAAAATAATTAGGAAAGCAGGTGAAGCGTGTGCAAAAAAGGCAACGAGCTGAACAATAACACCCCACGCACGGCTCAGAACCGGCTGGTTGACCAAACTGAGGAACTGGGAGGATCGAAGTCATCAATCGGCCATTGGCCGACTGGGTTCTCTGATCGGTATACGCGAAGCTTTGTCGCTCCACGTCTAAGAGGACTCTCTGTTTTTGATTCGCCCACGCCCTCTTAGCTTTGCAGCGGAAGCAACATCTGCGCCCCCTGTACTCCGTGCCCGCAAGGCATACTGGATTCCACATTGCCCCACAATTTTCGTGAATTCGAGCCTATCAGGGTCACAAAACTGCAGCGAGGCCAGTTTTTCGGATTGGATTCAATCGTCGGGGTTTACGCTGAGCCGTGAAATTCGTCATGGAAATGTTCCTAGTGGCCGCTGAGAACGCAGTTGATTCCTTCGGTGGGCTGAGCTCCTCACCGGAAAGCTTGGCTGAGAGTCCAGCCTACCAAAGAGATAGCCGAAACACAATTTTCGACATTCCTTGTCCCACAAGGTTGAGCCGTAAAATGCAATTGAGTTTTCTAGAACTCGAGATGTCAAATCAACCACGTCCGATCGCACCCAACGATGTTTAACGCGGTGCAACTCGCCAACAAAATTCCTAAAATCAGAACTTTTTTTTATAAAGATGTAGATTTGCAACTTAGATACTTCTGATAGGCAACGTAATATTACCTAAAGAGGGACCAGTTGTGGTAGTGCGCGGTCAGTCGGCTCCGAAATGCTTCGCAAAAGTTCAAAGACAGTTTCGAAGATGCGTTCTATGGTATACCAAGTCTTTCCATTTTATGGATGAGGCGATAAATATCCTAGTGGTTACGCTGGCATAGGTTGTCGCCTTTGGGGTCGTGTTTCTGGTTAAGCCATGGAAGCGGTTCGCACAAGGGTCTTAAGAATCAATACTTCGCGACTTGTTCGCTAAAACCAAAGATAACGCTCCAGTGGAGTACTTGTGGGAATGGGGATGATATCTCATCGAGGAGACTGCATCACGAATACTTCTCAATGGCTGGAATAAACTGCTTGGATTTACGCGATGGAATCTCTTGAATCGATCCACCATGAACAGGCCGATCCCCCCCCCCCCCCCCCAGGATATTGCCATGAATCACGTCATACCTGCTCGGATCTCGAGTTTCGACTCCTCAAAAGTGGGGTTCACATGCACAAAATGGGCTGTTCGCTACATGGATCTGCGCCAGGAAGCTTGCGTCATTGTCACCAATAAGGTTGGAGTTCGCTGAGGAGCACGCAACTCCCGGTTTGAACGATCACCCGATATTGAACGATTCCGCAATTTGCTAAGCCGTGATTTCACGGGGGCAGAATCATTCCTCAGCACGTCTTGCGTCTTTACAAGGCTGCCGTTGCCGCAGGGGCCTGTCACTCCGGGTCTTGTGCAACCAATGGCTTCTGGGAGATATTGCTGTCCCGCCATTTTCGACTTCTCATTTTGGCTATGACTACACTGTACGGGGTCAAACGTTGCAGCCGTGTCACTGGGTCTAAGCCCCGATATATTGACCGAAATAGCCTATACATCCTCAAAAATACCGTTCTGTACCCAGATACGGCGGCTAAGAGCAAAACTCAGAGCAAAAGGAGTAGCACGACTATTATATAGCAAGTATAGCTAAGAGGCAATGTGCTTTAGATATGAAAGAATGGAGTCAGTGCTTTCTCAGTCATCCAATAGGCAATTCTACCCTAAAAATATCCTATGTTGGTGTTAGTTCAGTACTATACCAAGAGGCCTCAAGAACTTACTAATGCAAGATTGGCGGCTTCCTTTTCTTTACCAAAACCACCTCCAGCAAGCTGTAACTTCCGGGTTTGGCGATCTAAGACGTTACACTATCAACGAGGTTAACGATAGTGCTCATATGGATACTGAGAGAGAAACCCAGACCTCTTCAACTGTCTGCGCCATAATGTACCGAACAATTTTTACTTGCTCAGTCTGGCCAAGACGAAGTGCCCTTCCAATAGCTTGTGACTCGATAGACGGGTTCCACTGCGGTTCCAAGAGATATACCCGAGATGCAACGGCAAGATTTAGACTTCGAATTCTTAGAGTGGAAGACTTCCAGGCGTAGTTGATGAGAGCACTTACCCAACGGCTCCGGTACCAAGAGTCATTAGTAGAACGTTTGCACCATCTGGAGATCGGAAGTCTTTCAGGATCTTTAGACGTTCATTTAATGCTAGAGATCCGTCGATCATGTCGAAGGGAGTCTTGTAATGGTTGAGTAAGTCACCTACGAGGTTGAGTGTCTTTTTCCAACAGGAGAAAACAATGCTGTAAGCTGTAAGCAACCAGCTTGGATTATCTCATTATATCTTCATACCTCTTGTGTGTAGGATCCCTGCGAAGATCTTGTATGAGCGCCAAGAGCTTAGATGGATAGGGCCTTGGGTATGAATTGCTATGATAACTATTCAGAACCCACTCATTATTGGGCATGCTTTCACTTAGTATATTCTCAGAATGATTATTAGTTTCTAATACACATGTTGGGCATCCTTGTTTCTGGGCGCGATGCTGAGGCGAGCAGTTATGACACACTAGGTGAGGGCACTTTCCAGCAAATGTCCCACCATCAGTGTCAGTAGCATCGTTGAGAGAATAGATCGTCCCAGTGCAGTACGCGCAAACATTCTGATCGAGTTGCTGGAGATACGATAATGCCTCGTCAGGGTCTTCAGGAAGGCCGGTCAGCCCGGTATGCAGAGCCACATTTTCGTTCCCGTTGTTGCAAAACAACCTCAGCTTGAGGAGGGACTCGAGCACGGTTGAGTTTACCCGGCCTTTCCTACGTCCACTTACAGCCATGTCAATCTGAGCACGACCTTGGAGAAGCAGGTTGTTGTATTCGGTCCGCTCCAAATCTGTGAGAGGTATTCTGCGAATTTGTCGGATAGGCTCAGGTAGATCTAACAACTCCCGAGTTCTCCGAAGGCAAATCGTCTGAAGAAGCAGTCTCAAGTTATTGAAATGATTTCGAGAAGCCGAATTAATTGGGGTCGTAATGAACTTTCGAAAAGTAGGCGTGGACTCTAGTATTGGAACTTTGAGAAATGAGGTTAGAGCTCCAAGATCATCAAGGTTATTCTGGATAGGTGTTCCAGTCAAGCACCATCGATGCTGTGCCGGTAAATTGGCAACGGCTTGGTATTGTTTCGTCGCGCGGTTTCGGACGTCGTGAGCTTCAATATATTATATTAACGAATGGAAACTCTAAAAGGGTAGAGATCACGATAATTTGCTCATACCTTCATCCAGTACAATCCGGAACCACTTAATCTTCGCAAGGGGACTATCTCGGCGACAATATTCGGTGGCAACTGTTGCATATGTTGTAAATACGATCATCCTTTGCTGAAGCAAATGTATCTCAGCATGACGTGCCGAACCTAGGTGTCGGTGAAATGAGATCGCCCCAGGAAACGTGTGTCTATCTAGAAATCAGTTTGATGGACTACGACCTTTTATCACCCCTTCGGTAGATGACATACTTCCGTATTTCATCCACCCAGTTGTCTATTAACACTGGTAAAATGTTAGCTAACTCCTAGATTGGGCAATCCTTCGCCTTAAGGCAAGTCTTACAGGAAGAAGGAGCTAAGATAAGCGTTGCGCTAGATGGAACCTCTCTCTGGGGCTGGCGTTCAGCACCCTGATTTTCTGCAACAAATTCTTCTGCTCGATCAAGAGACCCAGCAATCGTTGACAAGATAACTAGGGATTTTCCCAGGCCCATCTCGTCCGCAATAATTCCACCTCTAGCCTCGGCTGGAAGGGGTCGTTTTGCCCCAGTAAAGACATGTTGATAGCTTTGAACAAGGACTGTTAGCACATGCCCATTTCTGCACCCCATGTATATTTCAAGTCTTACAATGGCTCGTCTTTGTCAACATCATTGTACTTCCAAAGACTCAATTCTGAAGCAATTTTTCCAGTCTCTCTTTGGTTGATGAAGTCAATGGCCTCTTTCTGATGTCTACATTAGACCACGAACTGTCAGTAATGCTCACACAATGACATATAGAGCATCTTACGGAAGCAATGTGCTTCTGATTCTACCATCCACGGAGATTTGACCGAGGTCTACATGATGGGATAGCGAATCAAGAATGTTATCAACTGCTGTCGAAATGTTCGTTTGTGACTCAGGCTCGATGCTACGTCTCCTTGCTTCCTCCTGATTCGTCGTCGGCGTCTTCTCAGTTGGGATCCCGCCGTCAAATCCGTCGATCTGAAGGAAGTGAGGATTGGAGTATTTGTACCCATCAAGACCTGATTTAGGAAATTGAAGGTATATATCAGCTTTGGATAAGATTCGGCCGACGGTTTCAGCATCGGCCTTCAACCCATATATGTTCACTTCCACAGGGAAAGCTTTCTTAGAGTAGTAATGCCATGCTTTGATGTCCCTTAAATCCGAGGCCTGAACAAGGGCCCGAAATTGTAGTTGTCGTTGCCGATCCTCTACGAGCGCCTTGAAGGTGGCGCACAGTCCCTTGGTAAGTCGCGCGAACCTAAATCCGAGGTGCTCAAGGGCAAATAAAGAGCCTTCTTCAACGACAGGAAAGGAATGAACTCGGTCAAGGGCAGGGAATATCAGCTGTCTATTTCCAGTGCTTAGCTGGGCTTTTATATCGATGACCTGAATGCGATTAGATTGATGAACCTGGGTGAGGTAGTGGACGGTTACGCTGCCGAAACAAAAAAAATCATGGATAATTGGCTCGCTTATCTCACTCGTCTGGGTAGAAGAGGAGGGTGAGGCTGAGGTCGAGGCTCTTGACTGATCATCTCTTCCATCTTCTCCGAAAGGCCACGTTCGCTTTAATGGCGATGGTGTCGGTGATGACCACTGCGGTGCATCTAATGCCGTATATTGGAACATTTTTGCGAAAGGTTCATAGATGTCAGCGAGTGTAGCCTTGATGCATCTCACGTGTGCGATCTTGGCTGGTTAAAGGTTTTGAAGCAGACGGGAGGCAATGGGGGACGAGATTTTAAGATCCAGTCGAAGGTTTGAGCATAATGTAACTATGAAGAAGCACCGAGGAAGTGCGGTATCACCTACATGACAAATTTGCGGCACCATCTCACCGGTGTGGCTGAGCGCGAGGTTTAAACATGTGCACAGACCTCAAACTACCTCGAACGAAATCCGCCTTCCTCCTCTCGTCGTTGCGAATGTCTGGTTTAACTTACTACTTGGTCTTCGCGACCGCTAACAAACAATTCTTCCCTCTCATATGAAAAATGGGCGACAATGGTCCGAGCCCTGAGGCCGCACCGTTCGAGCGGGCACTCGCACGATTCAGAATGAACCTCAAGAAGAGGGAGCAAGAAACGTTCAGAAAAACTACCTTAGCAGATTTGAGGCAATGTATTGGCGAACTACAGGAAAAACAGCACACATCGCGGCGGCTAAAGGGCATGAATCGCATACAGCCTTTTCTCGAAGCAATGGAGCAGTTTGGGAAAGTCGTGACAATATTCGCCAACAGCAACGACATTGTTGCATTTGTATGGGTTGGTAGTTAGCACTGCAGTAAGCTAAAGAAAGTTTACTAATAAGATATAAGGGGCCTGTCAGGATGTTATTGTTGGTATGAACAGCACTCACATCAAGCGTGTTGGTCGCTAATCGCCGCGAACAGATTTCAAGCGCATGTGTGGACGCATTCAAGGAGCTCCTCGATACGTACGAACAGATTGGAGAAAATCTGCCACTTCTCATGCAGTATGAGAGCCTATTCCGGTCGAAGCCTCACATGTCCGCGGTGCTGGCCCTCATGTATGAGGATATTCTAAAGTTTCACCATTCTGCAATGTCATATTTTCAAAAACCGCGTCAGTCATGCTCTACTAATTTTATCCAGACCGGCTGATGTTGTACAGTATGGAGGCAAATGTTTGCCGCGACTTGGAAGACGTACAAGTCGCAATTCTCGGAAATAATATCCAACATAGCTCGGCATCGCCAGCTTGTCGAAAATCAAGCTACGATTGCTCAAATCGAGGACTTTCAGCAATCTAGAAGGGTTGAAGATGCAAGATTTGAAACCGAGACGAAGAGCGAGGATTTGCGTCGCCTGAAGACTGTTTTTGACTGGCTACGGCCGGCGAAAGTTGAATCCGATCATCACGAATTTGTTAAGATTAGGGCGGCATACCCCGGGATTAGCAGGTGGATAATAGATGATACGACATTCCGAGAATGGTTTGACCCATCGTATCCAATGATTCCGCCCTTGCTGTGGCTGAGTGGGATTCCTGGAGCAGGTACATTGCACTGAGGTACTCTTGGTACAAACCTGGGCTAACAGCAAGATAGGGAAGACTATCCTCGCGTCCCTCATAATTGAGGAAGCCCGGAAACTTGTACCTGCCCCAACAGTGCTATACTTTTACTGCAAGCACAAAAATCCAGAGCAAGACAACTTCCGTGCGGTTACTCGTACAATTCTCGCACAGCTTCTCAAGCAGGATAGGGACTTGCTCGCCTACTTCTACGAAAGGTGCTGTGAAAGTGGTGAAACTGTGCTCGAATCGCGAACGACAATCGAGAGTCTTTTGGTGGAGGGCTTTAACAACTGCAAGAGTGCATACATTGTCATCGATGGCTTGGACGAATGTGGAAGAGAGGAACGAAAAGAAATTACACATTGGTTCAGGAGGCTAGTGGAAGATTTGCCAACATCAGAGCCAGAGAGAATTCGGTGTTTGTTCGTCAGTCAAGATGATGGGTTCGCACGGAAAGACTTTTCAGGACTTTCCAGCATTAAGATTGGACCAGAGGACAATAAGTCAGACGTTGAGTATTATTGCCGTTCTGAAGCTTCCAAACTGACACTTCATCCTTTCTACCTAGCGCATGAGAGGGCAACCGCCATAGGAAACACAGTGTCAAATTCTGCTACAGGTACGCTGAAGCCAAAGCTTTTCGCCTTGATATAAATGTTCACTAAATATTAGGAATGTTTCTTCTGGCGAAGTTAATCTGGATCAATGTTTTTGGGCAAACTTCAATTGCCGGTCTTGAGGAAGAACTGGAGCCCGACGTCTTCCCTACGGGAGTCAATAACGCGTAAGTTAAATGATTTCGTAGCGCAGACTCACTAATATATGATAGCTACGAAAGGATTATGGCAAGAATAGAGGCTCAAGCCTCCCCAGCGCGATGGGAAGAAGTCCTGATGGTTCTCGGATGGCTCGTCTGTGCAAAACGACCGTTGAAGTGGCACGAGATACAAGTTCTGAAAGCAATGAATCTTGATAAGGAATCTATTGAATACGACCGGCAAAGGTTCCGGCCAGCTCCAAAGGACCTTTTCGATTCATTAGTCGAACACCGAGACGATGGGACTGTCCAACTAGTGCATCTATCCGCCAAATAGTAAGGCACACTCAATCCGAGCAACAAACTGCCTTGCTGACACTATATAGTTTCCTCGTGGACGAAAATAAAATCGATCTATCTGCTGAGGAATTGAAAATGGCAACAATGTGTATCAACTATCTTAACCTGTCAACGCTCGCTTCACCTACTGAACCAGGTGTGCTAAATGGAGATTACGGGTTACTAGACTACGCTGTACTGTACTGGATACGCCATTTCGAAGCCGGAATTCTGCAAGCAGATGGCCATAATGACTATATGACAGCAATTGCAGAGTCATTAGAGATCTTCATCCAAAAGCATTGGTGCGACCCGACCCATCCTTTATCGGTGTCGCAAAGAAACCGAGATAAGCTCGCATTCTTCCAAGGCTTGCCTTTCTACGACAATCTCGAGCAAGCAGTTGTCTCGACTCGGAAACAAGTCACATTCTTTGGAAAGATGAGGACAGAAGAGATTGCTCTAGATCTTGATGGAGTGGTGGTTAGTGTCCGTAAAATGCTCGAAGATTCGCTCCAATTCTTGGAGGAACCGTCCATCAAAGAAGACATGACATTAAAATACGGTACCAATATCTTCAAGTGCCCTCGATTCAGTTGTCAGTTCTTTACGACTGGCTTTGCCACCGGTCAAGACCGCGATAAACATGTCGACAAACACGAAAGGCCATTCCGCTGCACTGAAGAAGCTTGTACCGGGTTTACCTTTGGCTTCATCTCGACGTCCGACCTTAGTAGACATATGAGAGAAACGCACTCAAGCATCTCTATCGGGGATGAACAATTTCCCACCGATCATGACGTCCAAATAAGCATGCAGCCCGAGCGACCTCCGGAAGAACCAGCCCCCGCCTCAGTTGTCGAAGTACCGCAACAAGAGCAAGAGCTGATTCTCCACCCGCTACCAGCCTCATATCGAACGCGTAAAAAGGTGAGGCAAAGCGAGTTTAAGTGCAACGACTGTGGGAACGTCTATACGAAGAGGTACAACTGGAAGTCGCACCTTCTCATCCATGCTACTGACAAGCCTTTCAAGTGCCCCGTTTGTGGTGCGCGTTTTGCTAGGATGGGTGATTTGAGACGCCATGGAAGTACGCACTCCGAGAAAACTTACGTCTGCCGTGCAGCGTTCCCAACCGTACGTAATACGTTTCAACTCGCCGTTTTTTAGGCTGTAACTTCTTAGTTTGTTAGTACGTTTTAACATAAAGGGAGAATTTAAATCCACTTACAGGGCGTAACTATTATAGCTTACAATCCTCCTACGTTTTAACAGCTTGTAAGACGTTACAGCGTATATAGTCTACTAAGTCCCCTATTTTACTGTAAATATAACCCTGCTAGAGCTAGTTTTTCTGCAGTTAAAAAGCCTTAATTATTAAGCTAAAAAGCTTATTTTTGTTACAGGTAACAGTTTTTTTACTCTTAAAAAAAAACCTCTTATAATTACAGCTTATAAAAAGAATAAATAAAAAGTTAAAAGTAATTTTATATAGTATAAAGTAAAAGAGTTGTCTAACTTATTTCTACTAAGTAAAAAAGTTAGTAAATAAAAAGCTATTATTATTAGCTATAGTAACATCTTTATAGTAGCTATTATAGTACTACTACAACTCTATTATTTTCTACTACTTTTTATATAAGCAGCTGCTAGTAAGAAGGCTTATGTTAATAAAAAAAGTCCTTTTAAAGCTCTTATTATAATAGTTACTACTAAGTAACTTGCGTTGTGTAGGCTCTTAAGTAACATTATTGTTATTAGCCTTAGCCTTAGCCTTTATATTAACATACTTTTAAAAAATAGCTTTTATTAAAGCCTTAGCTTTTTTATACTATGTAAAGTGCTTTCTCTAGTAGTCTTTAAACTAAATAAGATAAAGTTAAAGGTTTAAAATTATTACTATATAGTAATAAAATATAAGTGGCTTAATAATAAACTTTTTCTAGTATGTAAGTAACTTCTTTATGCTAAATGCTATGCTAGATTTAAAGTAGTAATTAACACTCTTACTTTTAAGTTTATTACTTATACATAGAAGCTTAGTATATGTCACAATTGTGCACGAGTAAGGTTATAGAGCTTCACAGAGGTCTAGTTTAATTACTACGTAAGGTATTATAGTAGGTACAAGACGTTGTGTAAGGAACAGGAAGGTTTAAAAGAAAATTAGTAATTAAATACTTAGCTTAAAAGTCTAAGCGCTTTAGGTATAAATTAAACTTATTTTAAGTTTAGTTAGTGTTAAAGCAGTTTATGCTTAAGTTTATGTCTATGTTATATTATATTTATGTTAGACGTGCACTAATAATACTTTAGTACACGTCTAATACAGTTATGTCTAGGATCTAGGGAGGATACTATAACAGTACCCCCCCTTTTATTAAAAAGAGAATTCTTTACATTAGTAGTTCTAGCATTAAGTTGTCTTTGTTAGAGTACAGGTTTAGTTTAGATAAGTATTAGGTATAGAATTAAGTTACTGTAGAGTTCTTTTATAAAGCTTCTATAGGTTCCTATAATAGTTTATTATATCTAGTCTATTTTATAAAGTATTTATAGATATATTTTTTCTTATTAAACTAAATTTATTTAATGTCTTTTATAATGTATTCTAGTTTATTGTTTATAATAATAAGTTTAGGTAGCAGGTTTAGCTATTTAGGTAGATAGTTAGATTTAAGAGCTACTTAGCGCAGTAATAATACATAGAACACAGGGTGTATCTTTATGCTGTTAGGTAGGATTAATTAGTAAGCGTGCAATAAGACTATATAAGCTACTATAAAGAGGCTAAGGTTCTTTTAATTAAGTTTTTTTAATTAT